GTTAGAACTAGGATAGAGAAAACGTCAAATCTTTTGCGACGATGGAATTAAACAGCAATATAAATTTTGATTCACGATATTAATCGATATTCGATTTCCGGTACTGATTTACTTTCTCATTTCTCTATAAGAGAAGAAAAAATTAATACGAATCGTCCGTTTATATATCAGAGTTAATTTGTTGAATAAATTAGAGGGGTAAGTACCTGAAAAATGAGAACGAATTGTCATTGCACTTGGACAATCTTCTGACACTGAATTCTGGTATTGATCGATATTCGATTTTAGGTACTGATTTACTCTTTCATTTCTCTATAAGAAAGCAGAAAATTAATACGAGTCGTTCATTTATCCGCGTTAATTTGATGAATAAATTAAATATTGATCGGTCTCCAATTTTCAGTACTGATTTATTTTCTCATTTCTTTATAAGACAAGACAAATTGATACGAATCATTTGTTTATTCGAGTTAATTTGTTCAGTAAATTAGAGGGATAAATACCTGAAAAATGAGAATAAATTGTCATTGTACTTGGACAATTTTCTAACACTGATTTACGGTGTTGATCGATATTCGCTTTTCGGTACTGATTTACTCTTTCATTTTTCTATAAGAAAAAAAAAATTCAAACGAATCGTTCATTTATCCGCGTTAATTTGATGAATAAATAAAATATTGATCGGTCTTCAATTTTCGGTACAGACTGATTCTCTAATTTCTTTATAAGAGAATAAAAATTGATACGAATCGTCTTCTATCCGACTTAATTTGTTGAGTAAATTAGTGGGGTAAGTAGTACCTGCAAGATGGAAACAACTTGTCATTGCACTTGGACAATTTTCGTGACATTGATTTGTGGTATTGATCAGTCTTCGGTTTTCGGTACTGATTTATTTTCTCATTTCTTTATAAGACAAAAAAATTGATACGAATCGTTCGTTTATCCAAGTTAATTTATTGAATAAGGTTAAAGGGGTAAGTACCTGAAAAATAAGAACAAATTGTCATTGCACTTGGACAATTTTTTGACACTGATTTATAATGTTAATCGATATTCGATGTTCGGTACTGATTTACTCTTTCATTTCTCTATAAGAAAAAAAATTCATACGAATCGTTCATTTATCCGCGTTAATTTGATGATTAAATTAAGTATTGATCGGTCTTCAATTTTCGGTACTGATTTATTCTCTCATTTCTTTATAAGACAAGAAAAATTGATACGAATCATTCGTTTATTTGAGTTAATTTGTTGAGTAAATTAGAGGGATAAATACCTGAAAAATAAGAACAAATTATCATTGCACTTGGACAATTTTCTGACTCTGATTTACGGTATTGATCGATATTCGATTTTCGGAACTAATTTACTCTTTCATTTCTCTATACGAAAAACAAATTCATACGAATCGTTCATTCATCCGCGTTAATTTGATGAATAAATTAAATATTGATCAGTCTTCAATTTTCGGTACTGACTGATTCTCTAATTTCTTTATAAGAGAATAAAAATTGATACGAATCGTTCTTTTATCCGACTTAATTTATTGAGTAAATTAGTGGGGTAAGTACCTGCAAGATGAAAACAACTTGTCATTGCACTTGGACAATTTTCTTGATATTGATTTATGGTATTGATCAGTCTTCGGTTTTCGATACTGATATATTTTCTCATTTATTTAAAAGACAAAAAAATTGATACGAATCGTTCATTTATCCGAGTTAATTTGTTGAATAAGATTAGAGGGGTAAGTACCTGAAAAATGAGAACAAATTGTCATTGCACTTGGACAATCTTCTGACATTGATTTCTGGTATTGATCGATATTCGATTTTCGATACTGATTTACTTTTTCATTTCTCTATAAGAAAAAAAATTCATACAAATCGTTCATTTATTCGCGTTAATTTGATAATAATTAAATTACATATTGATCGGTCTTCAATTTTCGGTACTGACTGATTCTCTAATTTCTTTATAAGAGAATAAAAATTGATACGAATCGTTCTTTTATCCGACTTAATTTGTTGAGTAAATTAGTGGGGTAAGTAACCTGCAAAATGAAAACAACTTGTCATTGCACTTAGACAATTTTCTAACGCTCGTTTATAGTATTGATCAATATCCGGTTTTCGATACTGATTTAGTCTTCGATTTCTCTATAAAAGAAAAAAATATTGATAGAAATTGTTCATTTATCTGCTGATAGAAATTGTTAATTTGATGAAAAAATTAGATATTGAACGGTCTTCGATTTTTAGTACTGATTTATTTTCTCATTGTTTTATAAGTCAAAAATAATTGATACGAATCGTTCGTTTATCCGAGTTAATTTGTTGAATAAGTTTAGAAGGGTAAATACCTGAAAATTGTCATTGCACGTGTGCAATTTTCTGACACTGATTTATGGTATTTATCGGTATTCGATTTTTGATACTGATTTACTCTTTCATTGCTCTATAAGAAAAGGAAAAATTGATACGAATCGTTCATTTATACGCGTTAATTTTTTTTTATCATATATAAGTGGTCCATGGGACGATTAAATATTCGAATACATGTTGCCGTATCAAAGTCTCCTCTATAATAAACGATTTGACACGTCTGGAGACGCATGATGTATCGTTGCCCCCATCCCATTCCCTTCGTCCTGCTTTCCTGTATAAAATGTCGACTTGAAACGTATTAAAAAGTATTGACATTTCGAATATGTCTGAATTCTGAATCTTTTTGATCCGAAGAAAAGGATTGAAAAGTATTAGTTTCCATTAAATTTTACTGTCCTAAATGCGAGACGGTCTCTTTCGCCCGGGTGCTTCACCAGGGAAATTTCTCTGGTACTCTAAATCCTGTAAGGCCATCAGACTTTGTAGTATATCTCGTCGGTGCATAAGGTTTATATTACCTGTACATATATATTTTGAAACATTTCCTTTGGATATTATATCAAACGGATTTTGCGTGTCACGTAATATCCTTCGGATTACACAGACATTATTATTTTGATCATTTTGATTTCTTTGATATTCATTGAATTATCCAGAACGCGCAACTGCCATGTTGAACGACTCAATTGTCGTGTGAAATATTTCGATTTTCACAAATTCATATAAAATTTTTCATTCTTCACTGATTCACAGAAGTTTTTCACTTTTTATTAGTTCACGCTAGGGAAAAGATTGATGATCGCTGCCTCGAACAGCTGCAACGCTTTTCGAATCATCTATGTCGACGTGCTTTTACTCCTCAGATTTCTGTCATTAATAACTCGATAATTATTGCGAATCTCGCAAAATGCTATGGGACTTTTATGTTTGTCTTAACCCAATCTACCCTCACACTTCGAGTTGGCAGCTAATTACCGGACACTTCGTATGATTTTCATGAAATTAATCATATGCAATGTCAATTCTTTTTTTTTGCACAGGTTAACATGTTAATTCATGTTATAAACTCGTAATAATGTGCGAGATCGTGCTTGTCAAGTATGCTATTATGGTTGTGGCACGGACATAAACCGTCTAAAAATGAATGTAGCGCGGACTGCCACCTCATACAGGTTTTACCGCCGAAAGTGGATGTAGCATCGTAGTTCCCCTCTCAAAATTGATACAGATGGCGCCCTTTCCCAGTGCGTAAAGTCGGTGTCGTCGAAAACACCGTGTTAGCTGCTCTCACGTTCCTCTCTGATAATAGAGAACATAGCCGGAGTATAATTAAATTATAGCCAAAGGATGGTACACTAAAACTATTTGAGAGTTTCCACTCTATGTGATATTAAGTTTAAGTCCTCTATTTGACTTTATGGCGCGAGATTACGTTAAAGCTAACAATAAGCAATTTATTTGAAAAAGAAATATGAAAGGAAAAATGCGAGAGAAGAAAAAGTGTTTGCGTAATTCTTCATATTCTCGATTCATATCCGGATATTTTCACTTCACAAAAAGCAATATGATTTCCGGGAAATGATTGCATTTCCCGGAAATCATAACCTACTTGTATTGAATAACTCAAGGAGTTGCAATATGTTCTATTTTACGACATGCTCATTATCAACCTTTTTATATGTACAGTCGGAAGCAGAAGACTGAATATTTTCCGACATATTTTCGAACACAGCCAATAGCTCACAGATTTTATTTTTGTGTGTAATTATCAGAGGATAATTTTTCTTATTAAATTTCAAATTCATTTCAAGATGCAGTTAGAAAATTTTATTTATCGTAAATTACGAAGAAACGTTCGATAAAACTTGATAAAAAGTTTTGTCCAAAGTTTTAAGAATTACCTGGTCGAAGATTCATCACTTTATTATCATCACATAAAAAGCGCAACTTATTCTATAATCATAAATTTCAATAAGCGCACATATGTCGATACTTCAGAGATATAAGATAAAACTTTTTTTTATTTTCGCATCGATTTAAGTTACACATTAAAATTTGTTATTTGGAATGCCTTTAAAAATTTATAATCCTTAAACTGAAGGAAAGTCTCTTAGAGAGATTTCTATTAGAAAAGTAATCAATAGAATATAAAATTACATAATTAAAATATTAAATATGGAAGAAGCATTAAAAATAATTAACCAGGCGCTTGGTTGTCAATTTACCTCTGTTTAATTATTTTCTAATTAATAGTCTACTTCTTATTTACTTATTTATTTGTTTATTCACGGGAGAACAAGAATGGAGAAACAAGAAAGGAGACAAGAATGGACCGCGCAAATCCTTACAGAATTTCCACAAAAATTATAATGTTATATGAGGATCACAAGTAAAGTAAAACGAGTTTTCTTGCGATTAACTATTTCTCGCGAGTAACGCCGACGCCGACGCAACAGATTGCTCAAAAGTGATGACAAAAAAAATAAATCACACATATATAGCAACAGTTATCTGAGTTCTTATCTGAGAATTATCTGAGTATGTTTATACTGCTGCAAGTGCAGACGTGTGGGATCCGACTTCTCATGCAGACCCTTGATAACGCCAGGAGACCGGCGTACACGTGCTCCAATGGAGCACGCATGTGCCGCGACTCCCATGACTGGTAGAAAGCTGCGTGCTAATTCCAGACGGAGCTTTCGCGCGTCACATCGATGTTTCCTCCTCGCATGTGTCGACGCGGCGGCGGCGGAGGCGGCAGTGACGGCTCGGCTACATCAGCGGCGTTTTACTACTACGGTAGTGGAAGTAAGTAGCAGAACGTAACGTGGATGGATAACGGTGTCTTCCTCCGGAGAAAGGAGATGTTCGCGGCGTGCACGTGAAGTCCAGCGAGCCAGTGTCGCGGAAACTGCGAGAGAAGACGCAAGCCTGCTCGACGGCACCTGGTCCGCTCCTTAGGCGTTCCTGAGGAAGAGTCGAGAACTCGCTGAAAGCTGCGTTTCCCTGAGGCCCTGCTCGCCGGAGGCGTCCCGTTTCGTCGCGCGTCCACTCAGCTTTGCAGTCGACCTTGGGATTGATCATGGGTGAATATACACACACAAATCATGCATGTAATTTTATCACACCGTAATTACACACTCGCTCCCGCTTGGACCAGGAGGTTCCCTAACGTGGAATGTTGTCGCCGGTTGCTATCGATTTTCTTATTGAGACCGGGACAGGGGAAGGGGGGCAACCAACGGTTGAATGACTCGAGATTGAGAACGGGTGAACGCACGAGAACGGCGAGAAAATGACGAAACGCAATAATCAGGGGTTCGGTGGCTTGTGGCGTTATTTGCTTGACGTCTGCGGATAATGATGTTGCATTCCTCCGGTATCCCCGCCACACATATCGCGGCCAACGGTGAAAAGTGGAGAGCCAGGGGGCTATTAAGGAATGCTCCAAGTCCATGACAAACTGGCCGGTTTCAGCCAATTGGTAGGATTAGGTGTCATTTCGCGGGGGCGAGCACGTGACGTGAATGATGATGTGACCGTAAGGTGAGGAAAATAAGACCATAACAAGTATCATAAACACACGAGCGAGCGGATGTCATGCCCGTTCGACGATTATCCTGAATGAAAGCCATAGAGCTGGTGTGTGTGTGTGTGTGTATGTGGCTCACACATGTCGCGACGAGAAGGCGTAAGAGCGGAAAAGCATTGTAACTCTGCGGAATGACCGCGAGGAATCCGGCATTTCGCACGGTACATTTCCTGCGAACAATGTGTGCGTGTGTTTTCTCCCAATTTGATCCCACCCGCGATCGGCCTGCCGGTCTCGCGATTCAACAAACGCCAGCGATCTCCAACAGACCCGCGATATTTCGCTCGTGATGGACGTCGCGTCGCCAGTAATTCGTCAGCTTACGATTGTCAAACAATTGTCACAACACCAGACAGGTTTTCGACACCTCCTTCCGATATTCGATTTATTCTATTTTATCTCTTTGGTGTTTAGGGTTTATTCCATCAGTACCGTTTCAGATCTTTTTCTACTCTAGTTACATCTTTCTGTCAGGAACTGTTTTCGATCTGCAGTGTTGACTTCATTCGAATCGTTTCGATCGATCGCTCGCTCGCATGTTCGCAAAACTTATTTTTATCGAGAAATGATCACGCGAGTTGTATTCCAAGAGGCACCTACATCCCCTTTATGCTCGACTAATGCCTTTATTTCCAGCGGTATTGATTCGGCGAAGGGTGCGTAGTCCCCTCAAAGCTCGCCATGGGGTACTCCCCTTCCAGAAAAATGTAATTCGAAGGGCTCCAGTGAGTCATTCCGGCTTTCTCGGAAGCAGCTCTATTGTCTGCCTTTTCATGCGTTTCGTGTTCTTTCCTTGCCCGAAATTTCTTTCAATTCTCTTCTTTTTCTGAGAACTGAAGAACAGCTCGGCTCGGATTATATTAACACGATCTTTGTCATGAACCTGTTATGTAACTTGAAATGAGAGAGATACCGTCGTTGAGATATGTCACCATTGCGCAGACTATATAATAGGAAAGATATACAACGATGACATTGATAATTCAGACGACCGTTTAAAGCGATCGTTTAAAGTTATTACAGAATTGACCTGTTGGGTCGATTTTCAAGAACTTTCCTTTCACGATATAGGTCGCACGTACTCTATATGATAACTACATTAAATAATCTAATATAACTGATTGAAATTTGTGACGTCACATTTTATATAATAATATTCATTTTATTTTATTTTATAATAACATGTTGCATATAATAAAAATATTAAATAAACGGTTAATACATGATTTTATGAAATTTGTGATACAACTGTTATAATTGATAATTCATGGTTCATATTTTATAAAGTATTTATAATGTTTATATTTTACTTTATATTGTATAATAACACGTTATATTTAATAAAAATATTAAATAAATATTTAATACGTGATTTTACGAAATTTATGATATAACTGTTATGATTAATATTTATAATAATATATAATTTATGGTATTTTTTAAAATACTTATTTTATTTTATTTAAATGATAATACAGATGATGACGCACTTAATAGAAAAGATTGAATTAACCTGAAATTATTGCATGAAGCTTAACTTAAATAGCACTTAATAAAAGACATTCAACAAACACTTAATGAACATTTAATAAACATCCGACCAAATTGAATTAAATGCAACGAAACGAGGAGCCTGAATGAAAAGTTCAGCGTGGTGTACGTAAATACGACACACACTGCAGGCAATGTGTCAAAACAGACGTCAGCCAATTTTTACATACAAACGTCGCATAACGACGTGGTTCCACTTGCGTCCAGAGAGCGAGCCGACTATTATTACTCAGCAGTTTTTAATCATCAATACTGTTGCTACTAGTCGCTATTGAAAATTACCGCCGGTGAAAGATAATTGAAGGATCAAGGATTATCGAGGTAATGTCCGTTGCAAAAGTAAAGCTCGATCTGTAGGAGATCTTCGTTGTTCGTTACGACATTCGTCACGTGATAAAAGAGTAAAATGAGATCTACAATAAAAGTTATAAAGTCGTGAGAAAACTGACCAATTGCAGTCGATTATTCTCCTTGCAGTCGAAAAATAGTCCACTGTGATTGGTCAATTTTTTCTTACGACCTTACGACTTTTCTGTTTATAAATGCCGCTTAATATTTCCTTGTAACGTTTCGTACGTTTTTGAGACTCGCTTAAAGAATTGAATATGGATGTATGGATTTACGCTCAGTGATCATATTGTGAGTGTAGAGTCTGCGTCACTCTAACGTGTTTACGTAGATGGTATCGTTGCAAGTGTGGTGCGACTGCGTAAGAAACCGTAGATCTATGTGATTTGCATGCGGAGAGTTAATTAGCGAACCATTTAACATCCAAGTTAACGGGTTTCTCCTGACCGAAGCTGTTTTCCTCTACTTTGACTTTGCAGCGCGCAAGACGCGCGCCATGTTAAAGCACGTTTGTGCAATTACGCTATGTAGATTTATATTAGCTTTGCGAGGGGGGGGGGATAATCTAGGTTTTCCCAAGTCCAAAATTTCTCATTAAAATATAAAACATTATTTTCAAATGAAGCAAATGTCACTTGAATCTATTACCTTCTGCCGTCTTTCGGGCAGAAGTTGAATTCCTTGGTAATGAAAAGCCGGCTTTTTTAAAGAGAGGACTTATCAGTTCAAATCTTAAAGTAAAATTATCTCATTATATGTATCGTCCTTTACTACGTACGGCGTTATCTGAAAGGATAAAGCGCATATAAATATTACGATGAGCGAGCAGCACAAAGAATAGATAAACAGCGATTTCACTTAAAAGGAAGGAAAATGAATTCGTCTTCAACAAATTTCCGACTTCCAACTGATTCGAGGTTCTGCGTGAGACCTTTGTGTTTGAAAATAAACTGTTTACGAACTTTAGATCGACTTATCGCGCTACGTTTCATTTTAATTACATTGTTACGTAACGCTCGATGTTGCGCATTACTCGTCGAAAAAGAAGAGCAACAAACAAAGCAATAAAAACGATAAATGCGTATCACATGTGTTTCTGTTCTGCTCTTGATGTAACAGCGCGATACATTTTTTTTAGCATTGACTATCCGCCGACACCGATCCGTCGCTTATTATGAGATACTGTGTTTAATAAATAAATAAATGATAAATAAATAAAGTGATAAATAAATAAATAAATTCACTTGATGTATCACAATTAAAATACATATCGAATTTGCTCATATTGTCTTTCAACGATATTTCGATGGATTGAACGCGCCGTTTGAGAGATTAAAACTACGATCGCATCGTCGATAAACGATCGGTTGACCTCGTTTGGTGTCCACTTCATCGAACATTTCCGGGATTTGTGGAACCGGTTATACATACGTCGTGCAGGCGCAATTCTTATAGCGCCAAAGAAATGAGTCTCCGTACGGTTCGACTGGTCGATTACGCTCGTCGAATGTGCGATGCGATTGTCACTACGCGTTGTTGCTCATTGTAGGTACAGTCGGTGGAAGAAATATTGAAACACTCGAATTAAAACTTTGATGTGGTTTAAAGCATGTCTTGTGTCTCATTTTAGAACATTTGTTTTCTGGGAATTAAAGAAAAAAGAAACGAATTTTTATCGGAGATCGAACGCTCTGAAATTCATCGAGATGTAAAAATGTTGCCTTTTTCCGCTGATTGTACACAGGTCAGCATTTCATCAGTTATCGTGACGAGGAATGTGCGATTTATAAAATTGTATACCGTGATGCAATATTTTTTAAAAATCGCAATGTGTAATACACAACACAATTTTCTATCGCAGATTTCGAATCGCGCGCGATTTCATATCGCTCAATTCTTAATCATAAACGATTAAGGAATCCGCGATGGAAACTGTAATATTCAGATAAACGTTAAACATGTCAAAAATAAATAAAGAATAGTTGAGAATGAAAGCATTTGTTATGTAACACATGTAATGCAGCATCGTGAACAATTTTAAACAAGATTCGGAATACGTTTTCAACAAAAAGAATACTTTTGCAAAACGAAAAGTTATACTGTTTTTTCATTGTACGTCAGATCGAGCTTGCTACTGGTCCAGTATGAAAAATATTGTACAGAATATAATAATAAAGATTGACAGAATATACCAAAAATGATTTTTGTTTTGTCATTTTTACATATAAACATTCGATGAATGGCGACTTCCTTGCTCGCATAGCCACAGTCTGATATAATAAATACAAGTGCATACATTAACTTGTACATTAGCTGATACACTGCTCAAAAGAATTATGATATAGATAATTTATTGCCGGAAATTGGCCAACTTTGACTGGCGATTATTTTGCGAAAAATTATTGTAGACTGATGATTTTTTTTCAAAATGAAACTTGAAGTCTCTACTTTAAGAATGTATCTCCATTTTTTGCGTGAGATGCACCCGTACTCCTGTAACCCCTGATCTGAGGGCATGTTTGGTATACTAAAAATTTCAAAGTTTGACGGAATGCATCGACAATTTTTGTTCGGGGACGCCGTTTTCATCGTCATAAAGTTCCTTCCCCTTCAATTTGAAAAAAAATGGAGTCGCTACAATTTTTTTTCACAAAGTTACTGCCTTTCAAAAATATCATTGTTTTTTACCTTCGGGCCAAGTACCGGCCGGCGGATTAAGTGACTGGAAATCATACTGGAGCAACGGCAAAAGTGTTTGACATACGCACGCAAGCACGCGCGCATATTTTTCAGCTCCTGGCTCGTGTTTTGACCACAGCCAATATTCCTAGCATCGGCAGACAAACTCTCTCGGTATTTCCCACGGTTCCGTATGATTCTGAAGGGCTGTAACTTTGCGAAAAAAAATTGTAGCGACTTCTTGTTTTCTTCAAATTGAAGGGGAAGATTTTAACTTTATGACGATGCAAACGGCGTCCCCAAAAAAAATTGTTCACGTCCGTGCATTCCGTCAAACTTTGCAATTTTCAGTATACCAAACATGCCCTCAGATGTCAGAAGTTACAGGGGTAGGAGTGCATCGCATGCAAAAAATGGAGATACATTCTTAAAGTAGAAACTTCAAGCTTAATTTTGAAAAAAAAATCATTAGTCTACATAATTTTTCGCGAAGTAATCGCTAGCCAAAGTTGGCCAATTTCCGGCAATAAATTATCTATGCTATAATTCTTTTGAGCAGTGTATTTGTCTAGCGACAAATTCAATTTCAAAGATTCAGAGTTTAAAGTTCAATATACTCATACCTATCGCTAGGCACAATAGCCGTCATGTGATGGTAGAATAGGTCATTCTGAACAAAAAAGTCCATTTGCACCATTTTGCAAATAACACAAATTTTCAAATTATCAATTAAAAGAGCTTCTGGATGTGTGGTCATTTTCAATCATTGATAACTTAATAACAATTGCGGCTTTTGCAAAATGGTACTTAACTTTCCTTCTCAATTTGATCTGATTAATCTTCAACAATTTTTCGTTCCCAAAAAATTCCGGACACCCTGTATATCCGTTAAAGTCTGTGTTATTCTGTGCTTGTAGACAGAACACGACTGGCATATGTCACCGCTGCTGCAGTTGGCGCCGGCACGGCGGTTTTCTTCATCTGGTGGTGGTGGACCAGAAGACAAAAGCATCAGCCACCGTCGAAGTGGCGTAAGGTCGGGGAACTGAGCGACTTGTGCGTCTTCCCGGTCAAATCGCTCGGTGCAGTCCGTCTCACGTCAATGGAATGCACGCTGTTAGGCCTAAAGTCCGGTTGGATGAGAGATCGCACACTGATGGTGATCGATCTTGACGGACGATTTATCACCGCCAGACAACTGCCGAAAATGGTCCAGGTGAGAGAGTGTAAGATTTAGTCCTTTGTGGTCGTATTTACCTCAAAGAAATCGGAGATATCCTGCTGTGATCGAAATTATCTTCTACTTGATTAATATCAGAGAAAAATAAGTAAGAGAAATTGAAATAAATGCAGAAATCAAAATTAAGGTTAAAATTGGGACGTGGAAAATTGGAAAGTGGATAAAAAAATATAGTATAAAATACTACAAAATGGTCTAAAAATTTTACAATAGAACAATATAATATATCTAAACAAATGGTACGAAATAAATAAGAAATAAGAAAAGGAAAAGGAGAAGCGCTGATCGATGTGTGTCGTCTCGCCTCGAAATTTCGCAGTTCATTATTTCCACGATGTTTCTTTTTATCCCTGTTCTAGGTGTCACCTAATATCTCCGGTTCTATACTAACACTCCGCGCACCAGGGATGATGTCGGTGTCGGTGGACCTTGCTCAGCTGCGTGGCAAGGGCTTCCGTGCTGCTGTATGGGGCCAAGCAGTGCCGGCATGCGATTGCGGCGAAGAACCTGCTCGATGGTTGTCACGCTTCCTTCTTCAGGAGGACGTCGGTCTTAGGCTGGTCTATTATACGCTAAACTGGTCGTCGAGGGACGTGAGACAGATAAACAAGGGTTTCCCTTTGACCGAGGCGATTGATACCGTGAGTACTTCTCCGCTAACGGTGCGTCGAAGAAGCTGTTCCACCGTGATATTTCGAACGAGAGAATAAATTCTCCGGCAGGGAGCCTATTCGGACGCGACGAGTTATACCCTGATCACCGAGGCCTCGATAACGGATCTTAATAGTCGACTGGAAGAACCAGTCACGCCGCAGCAATTTCGCATGAATTTCGTGGTCAAGGGTGCCACCGCTTACGAGGAAGATAAATGGGACTGGGTGAAGATCGGGGACGTGATATTCAGAAATGTCAAGCCGTGCACGAGGTGCATCTTCACCACGGTGGATCCGGAAACCGGCACGAAGAATTCTAAGGTGGAGCCTTTAAAGACCTTGAAGAGGTGCGTTGAAAATGTGTTATTGTCGCTCGACAGCAACAGAAGGTGTAATGTTTCTGACTTCCTTGCGCGGAAAAAAGTTGTACTACCTCGCGTAAGACGAACAAGTCGAACAAGTTTCACAACGTAAAATCAGGCGTATAAGAGCCGAACATTATTATTCGTGCGCAGCAAGTCTTAACCCATTTGCATCCGCAAGCGGAATAATCCGCACATAATAATCATTATGTATCATTAGCCGCTGAATATTCCGCGACCTACGATGTTCACTTATTAGCAACCGCGGAATAATATGTTCACAACGACGTTCACTTTTCGCCAATGATATGCGCACACGTGATACAAGCCAATTGTCAGTTGAATATCTCCGACTTCTAAAGTTAATTACGTTTCTAGAGCTGTGATGCAAATGGGTCAAGCCCATATCAGACTATGGATTAGAATTGAGATTGGATTGAAATTTGACCAATTGGAAAAAAGAAAATAATCTCAAATATAGTAAACTTAGCCCTGACTGGTTAAATTTCAATCCAGTACTCAAGCCCAATCCGTAGTCTGATACGGGCTTTACAAATAACCAAGATGGCCAAGAATATTTCAATTTCAAAATGTAGCATATTTGCAACTTGCATTACCGACGAGTCGTAATTTTCAAGCATTTAACTCTTGCTTGCTATTTATCATTCTGGAACTCGTAAAGCTTTAGGAACGCTTCATGTTATTTACATCGCATTATTTATAATGAAACTGATAACGAAACTGATAACGAAACTTTTGTCACGAACAGTTACAGGCAGATAACTGACCCCGAGCTGCGACCTCATGTTGGCAATAGTCCGATTATGGGTATTCACCTTGGACTCAGAGGACCCAGCAGAACAGTCCGTTTGGGCGACCCCATTTACGTGGGTATACCGGAGAAGGAGGAGGAGGAAACTCCGCCTTTGACTTCGCCGTCATAGCTGTGGCGTTGGGACTCTTGCGAACATTTGGAACACGAACGAGGCACCGTTCCGACACACGTAGACGAGGGAAACGAAGAAGCGAAATCCAAGATCGACGATCGCGATGACATAAGCGTGCAATGTTCGTAAAAATGGTCACAGCTACACTACACGTACAGTTGTATGGAAAATGTTAATGAATCCCGACACATTTGACGGATCAGGCTGGTCAGAGCTATAAGGTACTATGGTAATCGCTGATGTGTCCTCTGCGACAAGCTTCGCACTGTGGACAAGCAACGATGTGGGATTTAATTAAGTCCACGCGCAATCTGGGTCTACGATGTTTCTATTGTTACGGAATTGCGTTGGTAGGAATTGCGTCTTAGAAATTCGGGAATATATTTTGTTAAACTGTTAGGGTATATAAGTGTGTATCTTGGTATCTTCATTCTACGTGTGCAAATGCGCAGGTGATGCGTGAGTGATGCGTGTGTAAATAATGTTTACATGAAACGATCACGTGAAACGATTGACTTAGAATAGAGGGGAACAAATCTCGATTCATTTTGAGATACGAGACTGGTAGAACTTCGCTAAACGAGAGAAACGACCACATTTTCAAGCTGTTTCCGCGTAGATGGACGAATATGTTCGATCTGAAAAATATATCAGGCAAATGTGTTCGATATAACGAACCCGATAAACATCAGGTAACAATAATATTTCCTCAACGTTATAATCTCCCTTGTGCTCAACAATGTGAGTGCAACGCAACAGAGATTGTACGTAGGAATTGCTTTACTAAGCGAGAAATCATAACAACGACGTAACGTTACGTCACTTTGTAATAACGTAGTATATACTGTTATCCGATGTTTCCTGGGAGGTGGCTCATATTTTAATACTTCGTCGAATGTCAATAATGTATACGGCCTCAAAACAAATGGTAAAGATAATGATTTTGTAATAACGCGCGTGTATCGCACAATAGGGTTTTGCAGAACCAGCGGCAGCCAGCCAGATAGCACAATATATCCTGGGATCATCTTGGACGTCCTCAGGAAGTCTCGGGACAGTTTCCAGGAATTTTAGATACGTTCAGGATCATTGTGGGATGTTTAGTGGTATTTGGACAATGATAATCAATAATACTGTCTCGTTACTTGATTTTATCAACCTATACGCGATTATTTACGGTTGTAAAACCTTCCTGCAGATGTCCGCACTCGCGAGCTGTACCGAAATTTCAACGTCACAGAGCTCAAAGCTGAAGTCAGAGCTACATCGGAAACTACCGGTTGTGCAAAATGTCAGCCGGCAGATGGGCAGCGCGTTTGATCAGAATGACACAGCGGATAGTCATCTTAGCCATCTGTGTTCGCATCGAGACTCCTGATTCCTCACTGCGACCATTCTGATTTATGACATCAGAAGCGAGGAGAAACTCTTTACAAAGATTCTTGCAACATACGTTGAAATAAAAGGATAACGCAAAATGACGATTACAATCAATCGAACAAATTTGCAAACACTTTCCTTTTGCTTAAACACCAACAATAATTAAGCGGAAAATTACCGTGAGAAAATTGTGAGAAAAGAGGTTAAAAAAGGCAGGTTGCATGTCACGTTGATTTTATGTTTATTTATTGGTTGTTCGAACGAAAAAGAAAGTGCGCTTGGACTGTTTTACAGATCTGCTCGATTGATCGCAAGCGTCATTTTATGGATATATCTCATTTCAGCGTATTCTTCATGAATTCTTAGCGTGTATCTTCTCGTCTCCGCCATTGTCAACCAAGTGGTGGAGGATTACGAGCTTCAAGCCTTATCTACAATATGTGTTCTCTGCTTTCTGTTTTTCTTCTTTCAAAGGATAAAGCATAAGAAACAGGAAGCAGGGAGCACATTGTAGGTCGGGTTTTAAACTCATATTCTGTCGACGGAGTCCGCTGACATAACCTTGACAGCAGATCGGCGGCAGAAATTGAACGGGATCTGCGGTGTAATCCATTTAAATGTGATCAAACGGTTACGGTGAACGACAAATCCCGTTCGGCTTCTGTAGGCGATCAACCATATCGTGTTCTGTAAGCAGATCCTGCTAGATTTCCGTTAGCGAGCTGACCGCAAAATTTTCCACCACGCGAAATCTGTTCGCACAAGTTCAGCTAGCCGTGGCTGAGTGTGAATCTGTCACCTTGCTTGATATCCGGACCATCGAATATTTTTCTAATTATATTTTTGTACCGTAGTGCGGCAAATTCGAATAAATTATGAGCGTTTCGTCTCACGAATGCAAGTAATCGCTGGCTGCAACACATTTTCTTCCGCTCGTCTTCCGACGCATACTTCCGGCTGGAGATTCCAAAAGACACACTCTGTACTACCACTTTTTATTACAATAATATTTATTTACACTACAAAACAACAGGGACGTTTTACATAGAGAAATTATGCGCTCGGGTAAACGACGACGAAACGTCGCGTCTTCGTGTTGTTACTTTACGTCTCTTCGGGCCGCGCCGCTTATTGGACATTCCCCGTGATGAGAAAGTCCAAGAAGGGCGGAGACCTGGCTTATCGGTGTTGACGGACTTCTAACAAAACGCAATCAACTGAGATGCGCATCGAGGAAGAGTGCTTTTGATTTGCTTGTTGGCCGCGCTCGCGGCGGGATTGATAATTGTCTAAATTTCTCACGGCTTTTTGACGTTATTGCGAAATTTTAAGCAGGAACGAGAGAAGAAGAAGAAGAAGAAGAAGAAGAAAGAGAGAGAGAGAGAGAGAGATAAGGAGAGGAATAGAGAGAGAGAGAGAGAGAGAGAGAGAGAGAGAGAGAGAGAGAGAGAGAGAGAGAGAGAGAGAGAGAGAGAGAGAGAGAGAGAGAGAGAGAGAGAGAGAGAGAGAGAGACATGGGATACATAGACGAGAAGGAACGGTACAAACGGATGGAAGAACGGTGGAATGCCTGACGTTGTTGCATTCCAGAAGGAGAAGGGGGGAGATATATGTACAAGTTTACGATATCTCGTCCGATCGGAATGTCACGTCGGGAGAAATCGTACCGTACCTTCGGCGTAAAAAAATAGACTCTGCCTTATCTGTACTCTGAGTGCGAATTGAACTATTCTCGTCACGTCGGAGGACGATCTCCCAGCACGCGGGGAGACCGTCCCGTAGTCGTCGGCGCATGAATCATTTCGTTGGAAGTGTCAACGGAGAGCGTGTCGTATCACAAATTGTAAAACGATTGGACAGTTTCACCGCCTCTCTCAGCGTGCTTTCGTCGCGCCATTACGGCTGAATGTCGGTCGTCTTAAAACGACGACCACCTACGGAAATATCCATCTCTATCGTTATCCTTATTCTTATCGGCTAAAAGGGTAAAAGTATATAACAGGGTCGCAGAGGGAGAAAGAGGTAAAACGAGAGAGAGAGAGAGAGAGAGAGAGAGAGAGAGAGAGAGAGAGAGAGAGAGAGAGAGAGAGAGAGAGAGAGAGAGAGGGGGGGGATCATATGTAAGAGAGAAGAAAGAATGAAGGAAACTACACCCCGAGAACAAAGTGAACAAAGTCGGACAGAATCAAGTAATGTCGATCGTTAGGGGGATGCGTGCGTTCGATGACAAACTGCCTGGTGCTTTCGCAGAGAGCTCGATGGCCATCAACGAGGGAATCGAGTTGCGGATCCCGGGGACAAGGGGGCAACACCGTGCACGTGAACGGTCATGTTGCCAACGTCGTACCCGTGTTCCTACTGGCAGAGGCGATCGGTCCGGCGATGATGCTCATGACGCTATGGTACCAAAGCCGGCGAGGCCTCTTCTTCTGTTTCCTCATCTCAGTCCTCCAGCAAGGTCCTAGATGATGGAGGTGATGAGTCGCGCCTTGAAGTTGACGATGCGTTCGCTCGTAGCCGCCAGGCGCTACAAATTGGAAAGCAGACCAGTCGGTTAATTTCACTTCCCACTCACGTTAGAATCGCCGCGAATTTTACTTTTTTTTTCTTCACACGGACAGAATTTTGCGGTAAAAGTGGAAGTTTTTCACCGAGGAAAACCTATATCTTGGGGATTGGCACAGCTGTTAAAAAATTCATTCATTTCATGTTCCTCAAAAAGATAAAGATCGCGGCTGCGCAATGGGATTATTTTCGTAATTTTTCTACTTTCTGCACGGAGAGAATTCCACCTAGTAAGCCTTTGTAGCCAAGAGAAACATACCGACATTCGGCCTTTGTCGTATTACCTTCCCTTTTTTATGTGTTATTTGTATTTCAAGAACTGAAATTTGCTACTTAAAGATTCACTACATGTTTCTTGGAAAAATGTATTATGTTCTTTAGCGAGATGAGGATTGCAACTAAATGAGAATTATTCTCGTAATTTTTGTTATCCATGCAGAAGAAAATTTTACAATGGAAATCGTCATAGAAATTTATAACAAAGCGGCACATTCTGCTCTTTAATTTATCATCGCAACTGAATGAGAATTATTCTCGTAATTTTTGTTATCCACACAGAAGAGAATTTTACAATAGAAATCACCATAAAATTTTGTAACAAAGTGACACATTCTGCTCTTTAATTTATCATCATAACTGAATGAGAATTATTCTCGTAATTTTTATTATCCACACAGAAGGGAATTTTACAATGGAAATCGCCATAAAATTTTCTAAGAAAGCGATACATTCTGCTCTTTCATTTACCATCCTTGCTTCCTTTCCACATTATTGACAGTCTAGTCCTGCGTTCCTGTCCAGGAAGATATAACATTGGAAAGAATTTGTATAAAGGAGAGAAAAAGACTCTCCTCTTCGTTTTTACATGTCACAGAAGAAATATGGAAATTGCATCACTCCGAGATACGCGCGACTATTCGCGGCTCATTTGGAAATGTCCGAAACGTCCAATATTGCAGTAAAAGCATGCGGTCGAACCTTTTTTATCAAGACCGCGGTGAGAGTGCAATGCACTCGAGCTGCCAAACGCAGAAGAATCACGGGTGTTACGTATTCTACGCGTTTCACGCGGATAACATAAAACTCTTTCCGCCGACTCGCATCCTTCCTCTCAGCCGCGAAGAGATTCTTTAACCCCCGGATGAAGGAATTTCGCGGAGCTCACGGAGCGTAAGACGCTTTCGAACCGACGTACGTTCTTCGCCGGCGCGCAACAGGCCGATGAGCGAGCGCGATGAACGCGCCGCAAATTGCGCATGATGAAATGGATTACGGCCGACGCGAGACGTGGCGCGTGAAGAGTAAAAGATACCGTAGCCCCCCTCCTCCCCTTCCCGCTCACGAATGATCCGCGGGATCTCGACGTTTCCTTTCGCCGGGGGTCCGCATCCGCGCCGAAAGCTTCTTCCTGCCGTTGCACTGTCCATTAACTAGCGCAAAATCCCAATTTGCATCGCGAGCTGCGGTTTCCTCCACGATTCCTCGCGTAATGCAGTTATGGAGCCCGATTTCCAGCCGACGCAATACAATGCACGCACGAGCCGGTATTCACGCTGTTTAGTCCCGAGGGCTTACGTATTCTCGTTGGCCGTTGCGTTACAAAAATGCGATCATCGTTAAGTGGCTGCGAGATCCTCGAGCGCGTGCGGAAGTCGCGTGCGGCCGAGTGTAAAAGTCAACGTCGCCGTTATGTCGCGACGCCGGATGATCCGCGAAACGCTCGGTTGTTCGCTGGCGATTTCGCGAGCGTTGCGACTGGGAAAATTATTGCTTTAACCCTTTCACTGCTGAATTAACTTCCCTTGAGAAAATTATTAAAATATTTGGTAGTCCTACATTTTTTGGATCGCAGATTACGAATCTAAAATCAGATTTGCAAAATTCAAAATGGCGAACTCAATATGGCGATCATAATGTACAAAATTAATGAAAATTCCAATTATTATTGATGGTGTATGTGTTTTTCGGGTCACTGATTACGAATCTGAAGTCAGATTTGCAACATTCAAAATGGCGGATTCAATATAGCGACCATAATGTACGAAATTGATACAAATTTCGGTTATTATTGATAATATATGAATTTTTCGAATCGCTCCCAGGTAGCAGACTGACGTCAAATGACGTACTAATGACGTCATTAGTACATTTGACGTCAGTCTGCTACCAGGGCTGATTATAAATCTTTTGAGTAAAATAATATTGATAGTATGGATAAGATGGAGATACAAAATGAAAAACTAGGAAAATAGAGCTAAAAAGTGCAAAAAATCAAATTTCGGCCGTTTTTATGGAAATATTTGTTTATAAAAGAAAGTCTAACTTGCAAAAAAATACTGAGTAAAATATATGTTTTTGTACAACATCAGAAAAATATTTGGTGAAAATTTCAGACCTCTACATTCAATACTCTCCGAGGAATCGATTTTTCCCTATAAAAAGCATTTTTTTCAACTTTGATTTGTTATCACAATAATCACAAATGAATAATTGGGTATAAAAACCTATTGGAGTATGTTGAACAACTATTCAGTTGCCTGGAAAACTCAAATCCCCGATTAGTTCTTCAAAATGATATGATTTACAACGCAAAATTGAATCAAGAAAAGGTGGGAAGTATACTTCCCACTAACAGTGAAAGGGTTAAAGAATCGCAGCCGGCTGCCGCACTAGACGACGGTTTTCTTGCGTGATCGCGTATAGCACATGTGTTGATTTAGTTCCGGCTCCTGCGTCCCAACGACGCTTCGGATTGTTCCGGACACTGTTAGCATTGTCGATTGTTCGGTTGCTGTCGGCTAACACGAGTCATTGAAAAAAGAGGAAAAGGAGAAACAGAAAGAGAGAGAGAAAGAGAGAGAGGAGCGCATTAAGTCACGCCGAGCTTCAACGAAGCCTTCATTTTAACCAGATTAAAACGCGTGGAGACTTGTGGAGGACTTCTTCTCCGAGGAAAAAAATTTTTAATTTTTAATTTTTAATTTTTTGTCGAAGGTACTGTCGAGGGCACTAATCCCTGGCGTTGATACTTTTGCTGACATCTGAAGCGATTAAAATTGACAACATCGAGTGAGTCGTGATTACATGCAATGATTGCTTCAAGTGATTATTTTAATTCAATTAGTCTCGCGCTGATTAATAATTAATTAATTTCATCAATCGATTAAATTATTCATAATTACATGCATGACGACTGCTTGATTTTGATTATTGATCTGTCGAATATTTTATCCTGAAATTTTAAACGATTAATGCTTAGCACTGCTCTCAATCTTTAACAACGTATCAAATGTAATTTTCTAATTGTTATAAAATTTGTAAAGTGACATAATATATCATGTGTCAAGGTGTCGTATGATACCATAATTATAAAATGACATTAAGTAAATTCTTTTTAATTTTGTGTTTTCTGATAATGCAGGAATAGACTGTCAATAGAGTTGATCCTGTTAAGAAATGCGGTAAATATTTCAACAATACAATTCCTGAAAGATAAGTAGCACATAAAACGGAAGGATAATAAATTAAAGCAGAATGTTGCAAAGTTTCACGATTGCAAGTTTTACATATATTTATGATAAGTTTCACCGTAAAATTATTTCGTGCGAAAGATAAGAATTGCAATAAATTTTCCTTGAGCGCGATTTTCACCTTGCTAAGGACCATAATAAAACTGATCGATAATAAAAATTTTTTAATAGTATAGATCTTAGTTTCTGTGATATAAGTAGCCCATACGAGCTGAAAGGATGATAAATTAAAGCAGGACATTAATACGTTCCACAATTATAAATTCTACAATCGTTCTTACTAGAAAATTTTCCTCTTACAAAAAAATGGAAGTCATGATTAGTCATTCTGATTAAGTTACACAATCTTTGTCTTGCAGAACGAAGCAAAGCCAAGAGAGGAAAATATTAAACGTTTTAATAGTATATATTTCAGTTCCTGAAATGTAAATGAAGTACACATGAGACAGAAGAGTAATAAATTAAAATCGAATGTCGACATGAGACATTCGAGCCGAAACGATAATAAACGATAATAAATTCCACTCGATAATAAATTCCATTATAGACGATAACAAATTCCGCAGTAACTTTTACCACAAAGTCCTCTCTCCATGTAAATATAAATCCAAACACGGTACGAATGACTAGAAAGACCAACGAGTCTTAGCCCGGTAAACGTTACGGTTTCGTTGAAACTTAATCCATCTCGATCACAGCATGATTCCAATCAAAGCTTGAAACCACTCTCGGACAGCGCGAAAATAAACGTTCTTCCACGCGATGCCCAATCAACTATGGCCCGCTGATTTCACGCTCTGCGAGTTTAAAATTGATTAAAATGCGAAAGTGAAAGCGATCCGTTCGGCGAGGTGCGCGAAAGTCAGCCGAATAACAAATCAGTCCGTTCTCATCCTCTTCAAGGTGCGTGACGTTTTGCCCGCGAGTAAATAGAATTCCAAGCGTCACAGCAGACAGAGGTCGGAAACGGAAATCGTCGAGCAAGGCCCACGTTGTCTGGGATGCTATTATTTTTTCGGGGAAACTTCGCGTCAGAAAGAGCGCAGAAAGAGCTGCGTAACGCGAGCGCGCGATTTCGACGACGCGGATGCCGCCGTGGCCAGTTGTTGCCCCTGGCAATTTTGCGTGCCAGGAGCGGCCGCTTGCGTAAGTCAGCCGGCAAATGGACGGCGCTATTTCATAGAGAAAGTCGCTTACATTTTTGCTTTCCATCGATACCGACGGCGCGCTTGCGTAATTGTCCGGTTTGTATCTGAAACGACGACGCGCGACGCGACGCGACGCAAGGCGGTGCGTTACGTCTGCTCGACTTTCGGCACCGTCGAACATGACCGGCCACCGTGAAACTCCCTCATTAAAGTTTATCCAATGCCCTGAAGTCCGATAGAGGACGAGAGAGAGAGAGAGAGAGAGAGAAAGAGAAAGAGGGGGGGGGGGGGAGAGAGAGAGAGAGAGAGAGAGAGAGAGAGAGAGAGAGAGAGAGAGAGAGATGTTGCCCTGTCTATCTGCCATTCGCGTCGTTCGAAACAGGTACGAGATATAGTACGGTATAACGCAATCTTAAGCCTCATCTTGACCTTGGTAACAATCTATTGCTTATACCGTATCGTTACCGTCCAGCCAGTGCGAACGATATAACGGTGCAGCGCCTCTCTAATTTTATAGCATGACAATGAAAAAACAATCAGTTCTTGACAAATTAAGAAACTCCATTGGTGATTATACTAAAATTCTCAGATATATTCTATTATTAAGAGAACATTCAATACGGTGAACTTTTTAAAAATATTTAAAAATATTTAATACACCGATAAGAGTCGCGCGAGACGATAAAGTCTAATTTCACGCTAGAAAAAGGGCATTGACGAAAAAGAAACAAAATTCTGCTGATAATTATGTTAAGGCTCTCTCGGATATTCAAGGAAAATATTCAATAATGGATCTCTAAGAAATCTAATCAGACTTTAATTTCTGAGAAATACTCGAGAGTGTTTAATCTTAAAAAGTTATCGGCTATGTGTCGATAACAGCCATGCAGGATGATAGATTGTCCCAATTAACGTCAGTGGCCTGCTTTTATGATGATTTTTTTTATGATGACACCGTTTTCCTCAATGTATCAGCTAATACGGGCCCATATTTGTGCTATAAACGTGTTTCCCTTATTCTTTCTTTATGTATTTTAGATATTATCTCTTATTATTCATTCATATATCTTATATATTATTCTATATGTTTATATGGGTTACAAGTTTCAAATAAAATTAAAAATCATAATGAATGCTGAAAAGTCAGTTACAAGCTAACGGTAATAGTTTGATAGCTACTCGACGATATCTTGAAAGTTGATATAATTTGAAATCATACGTCGATTTGTTAAATCTGCACGCTACTTCGGTCGTTTCTGAGAAATTATAATAAACAAGTTAAAACTTTTCCATGAGATACGATACATTTAAAATCCCAAATGTTCACGCTTCCTAGCGACAAAATAAACTTTGTACTTAATACATTTAATTTATTAATTTTTACGAGAAGGTTACTTGGTCACTACTTGGGACATTCGCTTTAATTGCGAATATCTTGCGAACCGCAAGAAGAATTACTCGCAATTTTATCACCTTTCTTGGCTTCTAATTTAACCCGCATGTATTTCTCAACAATTGAACTCTATTACATTCTGTCAACAGAAAAAAAGTTCAACTATTCTTTAGCCTTTTAAGCATCACGCACGCTATTTGGTGAATTGAGGAACAGAATCGTACAAGAGAAAAGTAAAATTGCTTCTGCCCCCAGTTTTGCACATTATTTTGTCGAGTTTCATTGGAAATTTACAAAAACTTCGAGTGAAGATAAAGGAACGTACTCGGATTCAGTCTGTGATATTGAATTGTGTGACAAGTAATTTAAAATTTTGCAGGCAAAGTTAATAAAGGACGGTTTTTTATTTTGTATCGTCATAATTTTACGAAACGCTGTTTTGATCAATGACTTTCCGCCATCCTTCGCACACATTGTTTCATAAAAATATAACGACAAAGAGATACCAACAAGCGCACCTAACTCTCTAACATTCGCATGTGGTGGCGCCTTTTCACAAATCTCTCTCGCGGTACGAAATGAATCCGACGCTGAAATTACACACATTTATTAAAAGCACGAGCAATTACGAAGAGAAGCCGAGTCGTCGCGTTCGCGAGGCGAGAGTCGTTGACTTTACGACCCGACGAGAGTCCGTTTTAATTAATTTGGCAATTTCGCGCAAGAAATCACGACGCGAATTTCACCTCACGGATCTGCCGAAGGAACGAATCGCGGACAATAGCCGCGCAATTATCGCGTGTCCTCAAGTGCAATCGTCCATAGACGCAATCGTCCAGGCGGCTCGCTCGCTCGAGAATCGTAATTCGCAATCGAAATCACGTCTCTCCGCGAGTTTTACGAGAAGAATGAGGAACTTGTCGCGAGGAGAACTTGAGTCCGCTGCCCTCGCGAGCCGAGAATCGCCGACTCCACGACAATAGCCGCAAAGTCCGTTCGAATTTTAATTCGGCAATTTCGCACAAGAAACAAATGTATTGTATATCGCCGAGTCTGTCGCGCGCGTACCCGCGAGTGTTATCGTAAATCACCGTGACAAGTCGTAAACACCGCCGGCGATCGAAACTTTTCCCCCGTCCCATGTCGAAATACAACACCGTTCGCGATATCCTGCGGATATAATAAAAACGGGAACACGAATAATTAACACGCGATAGAAAGCGCAGTCGCAAGCGCGCGCGCGCTCTCATGCGATTGCGCAGCTTTGAATTTTTATTAACCTCGTACGTGTGTTCCACCTGTTATCTCTCCGCGGAAATATCCGGCGAGGTCACAGTTCAGCGTTCTATTAATAGTCGGCCTCAGCGTGATTGCCGCAATATTTTGTCACTAGGCGCGACTTACTCTCGATTTACACGCGAACCGGCATCGTTAACATCTCGAAATCTTGATAATTGACGTCCGGCACGGGCTGCGAGCTTGTGCGAAGTAGATCGGCTAGGACACCTTTCGACATCGGTTATTACGTGCTCGCATGATCGTGTAATCATAAGCGGTAACTATATTGGACCGTAATAACACTCGGCGAGCGCCGATGAAGTCCTTTATTACGAACAGACGTCGATCGTATTTCAAGCAATTCGCTCTCCTCGACGAAAGGTTCAACCGGCTGAGCTTCCTCTCGATCGATTTTCCTCTCGTTACTTTCGCACGTTCGGTAACCCGCGCGTTGCATCATGTGAGATGCTATATGATCTGTTCTTTTTAGCTGCACTGCGGAACTAGTGCAATAAGTTAGAATGAGACAACTATAGTTTTTTTCACCTTAACTTATTGCACCAGTTCAGTAGTGCAGCTAAAAAGAACAGACCAATAGTCATTTTCGTCGTGCCTTTCCCCCCGTGCCAAATTTTGCCCGTGGCAAAAGAGCTCTTCTGCGTGACTTTTCGGACGCATTCGTCTTGTCCAATGGCAGACTTTGTTTTCCGATGGGAGAATCTTCTCATTGGACAAAACGGATGTGTTCCGAAACTCGCACGAAAAATAACGGACGACTTTCCTGTCCACGACCGCGCGATAAAAAGAATCATAGCATACAGAAAGGAGTATTTTAGTTACGGTAAAGTTACGGTAGAATTGTCGAACGGAGAAACATGTCGACATGCTACTTTCATTTTAATGTCCTTTCGTTTCGTATATGCGATTTGTATCTCAGGAACTGAAGTCTATACTCTAAAAAATATTACGTATTTGTGTTAAAACCGATCTTTCTTAAAATTTTTATATTAAACTCTTGACATATCAGAGTTTTCATATTTTGTCTATTGTGTTGTCTATCTTATGTTGAACGGGTATTCGACATTTCTGAATATTAAAAAATATAATATACATTCTAGATACAAGTATACAAAAATAAGAAAAACATCGTAATTTTGAAACGTAAATACTAATAAAAAACAAGAACAGATATGTGTTAATTTGACACATTATTGATGTGAATTTTACCGAAGAAACTTGTTCTATAAATATGTGTGTGTGCTATTTATGGCATAATATTAAATTATTCAACAAGTTCGTACGAATTTCTACGAATAAATTCAAAACAGATATTTCTGCACAATTAGGCACGACTTAATCCTGTTCGTTTTCTCGATGCCTTGCTGCGATCGAGAAGAGAAAAACAGTCGACACGTTATCGAATAAAGTTGCGACTAACTGTAAAAATATCGCTTTCGCATTTTTCGCAAAAGATCTCTACGAATTTACCGAACAAGCCGATATTCGTTCTCCCGTGTCGAATCAACGCACGAAAGTTGAACGAACCGTTTGGGGGACACGCAAAACGCGTTAACCTCGGCATGGCATTTTGTATCCCATATCGGGAATATTCATTACGTTACTTGGAAAAATGAGTACGGTAAAATCGAGAGAAATTCATACGAGGAAAAGAGCCGCGCGAGGCTCGCAGCATAGAGAAGTGCGAAGGAGCGGTCTCGGAGGAGATCGCGTAGTGAAAGTTTATACTCACGAGTATGAGATCTTGGACGAGATTCGAGATCCCTCGGTTGGCGATGACGAAGAACCTGGTGATGGGGCCAGGCACGGCCTCCTGCGTGCCGTCCGTCCTGCCGGCGGTGGCACCGGCGGATTGGTTTTGATTACTTCCGCTTCCGGCCACCAGCTGAAAAGATCGCAGACCGTTTGCGTTAGTCGACGTGCAGAGGGCAATCGGGGCACCTCCGGCTGAAAGCCCGTGGACTTTCACGCCCGGGACGAAGGCGCGACAAATATACAGATGTCTATGTAGCACATATACATATATATATATATATATATTTACGGGAATTGTAATTACAATCGTATGTCTGTTTGAGGATAACATATTTGCGGTGTGTATTGCAGCTCCACGTCCAGCTCCAGCGCTCCCGACACTACGGTGCTCTCTCTTACATGTCCTTATTCCTACTTGCGGCTACATACGTTACATCGATCCATCGATCTTGCTGCTACGATCCTTTACGTGCGCTCCTTCGGCTCGTGATATTATTGAGGCTCGCCTGCAGGGCGTCCATACGGTCCATGCGCGCTCGTCTGGCCAAGAATCGAGGCGCCGGCTGCGTTCAAAGGACAAACGGTTGTCTAGCCGCTCAAGTGAAAATGACCTGTGATTGGCGTATGCTCGTAGATCTACCAGTCACATTCATTCACCACGAGTCGCGCTCGTTTCAACGTTGTGTTCGCTGAACGCAGCAGGTGGATATAGGTCTGTTCTCTTTGGCTGAACTAGGTAGCATCTTTCGCCCTCGGGCAAAGACAGTGTGCGATCCAGTGTTGAAAGGGACCCAGTGCGGCTAAAGCGAACAGGCCTATTGTGAAGGAACACACACGTGCGAGATAATGCGGGAAAACACACACGAGCGGTTTGATGGATCTTCGATATGGACACCCTGCGTATGCGCCAGCGAACGGTGAATTCGCCGCAGCCCAAAATGGTGATAACAAAGTAAACCATACGCCATCGACGGACACCCGACGGTACGTGACTGCAGCTGGTGACTCACGACGCAAGCCTGCATCAGCCGGGACACCTCACGTTGACGTGTTCCGCGCGAATCCACCAGTTACAGACGCGTCGAGTTTGCGCATCGCGCGTGTGTGTGTGTGTACGTGTATACGTGTGCGGACCAATTACCAGAGATTTAAAATGCTACGAGATGCAAGTCTCCGCTTGGTGGACAAATCGGCAAGCGAACGATCCGATCGGCCGTCGTTGAGTCGAACGATCAGGTCGCTTCTCGCAAGCCGATCCGTCTGCCGACTAATCTGCGTGCGTTTACTTCCGGGTGCGTGTGAAACAAAGTCAAGTATAATGGAAACATGATAAAACTATGGCCGCTACGATATACGGTGCAGAGTACGAAGATCGCGGCAACGAGAGAATCGGCGCTGAAATCAAATTTCAGATCCCGAGTGAATCGGCCTGCCAGTACATCAACCGGTCAGTACGCCATATCAAAAAGTCTTTCTTGGTCAGTGATTGTCAGCGTTGCGTCGGGACCGTTGGCCGGGTGGAACGAGATGGGATGTGGAACGAGTGGACCAATGTAGCCGGTAAAAATATTCCAGAGTCGAAGTACTCGATTGGGCGCATTTGTCCAATCGGAAAACGCAACAGCGACTGGAAATGTTCACCGTTTCTGTGAAACTTGTTGCAAGTTGTTTCTTCGCGAGACGGAAAGATTTCGGGAAATTTTGGAAAATATCATTCGCGCGAGTGACGTGTCGCTAAAGAGAAAAATATAGAAATTGTCGATAATTTTTCACATTTTTCACGGGTCAAAATCTACTTTTGTATAAGCTATTCGAGTTCTACTTCAACTCCAGGACTGCAGAGGGATTTATCTCAAATAACAGCTAACTAGGGGTTAGGGATAATTTGTACAAATTACATGCCAAGACCTCGTTACATTAGACGTATGCAAAGTGCGCTGATGCAAAAGAAGTTGCAGCGGATGAGGAAGACACTTTCTTACATAGAGGAAACGACGGATTAGAACTCCTTACTGTGTGTCGCCGGTATTACTTCTCAGACATATACATATATATGCATGTACAACACAGATATTAGAGATCTTGATATGCAATTCATGCGCAGAGACAGACAAGATCGGCAGAGGCTCCGTACGAAGGAGGGAGAAAGAAGGCGGGAGGAAGAAGAGAAAGATGCCAGACACAGGAAGAAAACGTCGGTAACCCGTTCGGAGTAAGTCGTCGAGAGGGATTAAGTCACAGTGGCAGAAAGTAAGCGGAAGATTTCAAAACGAGTCCCAGGTGAGTCAAGGGTGCCGGGTGAAATAAAAAAAGAAAACAGAAATAAAGGAGCAAGGTACGGACATGCAGAGTGAGGTGCGATACGAGCGAGGTCTTTTGCCAAGTAAAGTCGTGCAGGAAGAGAGGAAATAGTGGCTCATTCGTTGTCGAGTAATAGGTGAGAGATCGGGACGATGACGGACAGACTACGAAGGTTCCGACTGTGCTACTTTAGCGTACAGTGATGCGGTTACTCGCGAGATATTGCAGAGACAGGCGTATCAGTAATGAAACATTACCCGTTAGGGAGAATCAAGACGGATCACTTCGATCTTTAGGGGAGTCGTGTGAAACTCCGACGATCGAGGTGAATTTCGAGTTTTCGTGCGACTGAAGGAGGCAAACTACATGCTGAGGACAAAACGAAGAAATTATGAGAGTAAAAGAGCTGTAAGAGAGCAGGCATGTACAGTGCGTTTTAGTAGAGTGGAATAGATATGGAGATACCAAGAAGTCGAAGAATAGAGAGAGAGAGACAGAGAGAGAGAGAGAGAGAGAGAGAGAGAGAGAGAGAGAAAGAGAAAGAGAGAAACACAGCTATCGAGCGAGTTCGATAAACCCGGTTGGTATTAAACACGTGCAGTACCAACCGTCGACGGTTCACATCACAATCGAAGAAAACATTTAATCTGAACATGACATATGTGCGTTACGTATCCCCTTGGGCAACGATAACGCGTTATACGCTTATTCTGATCATTATTTTCTTCAATCTTTAGAGTAGATTGTTCAGCGCAAGCCACTGTGTTAAAGTGTCACACCAAACAACCGCCATCCTCTAAAGAAATATTTACGACACACAGTATCTCACATAAGATTTGATTACATGCATCCAAATTGGTTCCACAAAATATGTTTCATATATGTATCATTATGAAAGAAATTATAATAATTTCATTTATTTTACATATGGATTCTCTCACTGATTTTTTATGTTTGCATTAACTAACTCGTTGTACAAAATACAACGCTGTTGCGAAATCGAGTTTACAAAAGAGATCATCCCTTTACGGGAAGATTCATGTTAGAGATAAAAATTACAAAACAAAAAAGTGAAAGCTTCAAACATCTTTGTATATCTTGTCTCAAACAGGATATACCGTTCCGATTTATCCACGCATTTGCAAACGCCAAATTTGGACGAGTATCAGCAAATCTATATGCTCGATTGAACCATGATATCCTTTCACAACGATGTCCCCTGAGAAATGACAAAGCGATCATCACCCGATCAATGCGCTGCCAATTGTCGACATACCGAACGGAGCATTGGAGGTTATCTAGGTGTATGAGAAGCAGTCGCGCGAACACGATTAATCATTGTTTTTCCTTATAGTTTGCTTGCGACACATATCTTCTTCCACGCTAATTATATACAGCTATGTAAAACAAGACCATACCGTTTCCTATTCACTCATATTCAATTTTGTCAACGTAGACACACTCGAACCGCAGTTCCTTGGGTTTCACATCCCTTTCTAGAAGCTGAACCAGAAGAGAGACCAATGGAACCGCGCTTAAAGTCGGCTCAGTTGTAGCAGTTAGACAGAGAGAATTTTGCAACGAAAATGTTATAAATTATCAAAAATTAAATGTTATAAGAATCAAAAATTATGAAGATTATAAATTACCAAAATTATAAAGCACATAAACCACACTAAGAATATTGTGAAAATTATATTCTATAACTATAAAAATTAAATTTTATAATGTTATAATATAACTATAAAAATAAATATAATTATATTTTATAACTATAAAAATAAAAATTACTATAAGTTACTAAATTAAAAAAATTACTAAAGTTTAAATTACAAAATTAAATTACAAAAATTACTATATTCTATTTTCTATAGCCAGAAGCAATGTCAATATTCTGTCTTAATTTTTTATCCTGCTGTAATGTACATGCTATTTATAACTTAACAACTTAAGCTTATTACCATGCAACATTTGCTTAGCAAGATCAATTATACTGGATATTTATTCTCATATTATCAGAATGCATGGTAAAGTAAAAAATAATTTTATAGAAGAGGGAAGAAAAAAGCTATAATTTCCTCTCCATGCAAGTTTCCGTTAGTCACGGTCCAATAAGTCGGTATGAACGATTGATCGAGGTGGGATCGAGCGCTTTGCCATTGGTCGGACGACACCTTTCAAGTCTGGTTCACGGATATGCTGAGAGGGAAAACATCTGGAGAAATATTTATTCGTTCTAATAACACACTTACTTGTACCAATTTCCATACCATTCTGACACTGAAGAAACGAGAAAGAAATTTTACGTCAAATAACAAAACATACGATTTTCTTCTGAATCGTAGCTTCTTCCACGGAAGAACAATCATTTGCTTTACCTAACTAAAAGAATCCGGGTTTGAGCAAACGCGTCATCAGTATCCGTCGCGAATAAATATCTTCCGTTTGCTTCCCTCAGCGTATACGATACCACGGGTCGCATGCCCTGAATTTCAAAACAATTTCGACATTCTTCCCGCGTGCGATTCGATGCGTAGCGTAGCGCGTGTATGCAGCGGAAAAACTCAATTCCCAGGAATTTTCCAGAGACACGAGTCCCCCCGCTGACCACCATCTCGGCTACGTTCCAAAGCGCGGCCGGAAAGAAGCGTCGAAGCCGTCGTGCGACAGGCAGCGCAGACATGTGAACCTGATCGCCTGGTTTATCGAAGAAGCTGATCGATCGCCGTAGAAGAAGAAAAAGCGCAGTCGCCGTATCTCCGTCGGCGGACACTTAGGCGTGTCGGAAGGATTTGGCGTACCGGTGGTGGAGTGCCGGCTCCTGGAGGGGCGGCTGTCGAGGGTGCGCCGGACGTCGGGGTGCCGCCAGTGGGATTAGCAGCAGCAGGGGCGGCCGGCTGCGCCGGGCCCACATCGCGCGAGGCGCTTAGCCCGAGCCCGAGGCTCTGTGTACCGGCCACGACACGGTACACCGTGCCTGCCGCTCTTGCCGCCCCGTCGGCCGCTTGCTAAACGAGAACAAACACGAGAATGTTCGTTTACTTGACGCTCTCTCTCTATCGGCACCCACCGCCATCTGGAAGAATCACGCGGGCCTCTCTTTCGCGCTCTTTCGCACGAGATACTCTCGCAACCATACCCGCCGCGATGCTCCTGTCGGCGCAGCCTGCGCGCCCTATCCTGGAAGTCCTGCAAATGTCGCTGGAAAGTGGTACGTTAAGAGCCCCGATGTCAGTCATCAGTAAACGAGCTACTGGGCGCTCGAGAGGAACCGAGGGTCGCTGGATCGCTCAGCGACGCTTCGACACACTCGGTTAGCTTTCCCGTCGTGAAAAATCAGGAAAGCCCGATCTCAGTCGACGCGTTCGCCGCGCGTGTGGCTACTCGTACTCTATACTCTGTCATCCCTTGTCACACGGGCGAAGTAAAGTAAAGGCCATCACACACAAATGAACGTAAGCAGTAAAGAAACTGACCAATCACAATTAATTATTCTCGTAAGTTTTCAAATGGCGTCCTTAAATTTCGATTGTGATTGGTCGATTTGCTCACTGCTTACGTCTTACTGCTTAAGTTCGTTTGTGTGTGATGGCCTTTAGCGCGGGGAAAGGCCAGCCCACGCGAGATATCGAGTGTTTTCGCGGTATCTTGCGCCGGTGTTTCATAAGTTCTCTCCTCGTGCGGACTTCGCTCGGTAAACAGATCTAATAGGTTATTAGGCGCTCGAGGACCGTCTACGTTGATGCATATTGAGCGCGGCGTTGCAGGTGTCGTCGGGGAATTCTCATAGCGAACATCCTCGAAGAACGAGTTTTTACTATGCCGCTAATAGCGCAGTTCTGTTGCTATTTATGGTTTCCTTTCTTTTTTTATTGTTGTTACAATCAATTTTGTTAATTTTAAACGTTGTCATCAGCATTTTGTCAGCCATTAACGAGTTGAGCGCCCTCTGAGGTGACATCACTGGAAATTTAACTATCGAATACTCTCAAATGAATGATTTGTTTTTTATATTATGTCGTTAATAGCAACTCCAGCGTTATTTTTGCATATATATTTTTTATTAATATTATGGTCAATTTTGTTAATTCTATTCGTCATCGTGTCATTACCGACCGTTGACGTGTCGAATGAACTTTACAGTAACGTCGATACACCGCTGGAAATTTAATTGTGAGATATTCTCAAGGAGTGATTATTTTTTTTTATTACGCCGTTCGTAGCGATATTGTGTTGCTCTATTCATATATTTTTCTTCTGTCAATGTTACGATAGACTTTATTCATTTTATTCGTCGACATCGTCGATCATTGACACGTTGAATGCCATCACCGGTGATTGGCAGTATGACACTATCGTTTTATTGAGTTACGTTTAAAAGCGCAAAGTTGGGTAACACTTAATATGTTTCTTTAGCTAAGTTGAATTTTAAGAATCAAAGACCCGTGAAATCAACTTAATTGAATAAAACGTTTCTTAATCGAAAAGAAACTCCATCAAAAGTTAGATTAAAATTAAATAAACTTGTCAAAATTAATTGTGCAAATTAATGTTTACATGTCTCTTACATAAATAACTTTTCAATCGTAAAATTACATGTTTGGTAATATAAAATTTACGCGGCATGATTGAGAGGTCTTTTGCCAAAAAATATCGACTGCTTTGCAAAGAACACCGATTCTTAGAGAAAAGAAAAATTTTATCAACATTATCTTTTATATCTTTTTTTATTTACCACTTTAAATCAAAAGTTAACTCTTCTAAAAAATGAACTGGGTAAGGTCAAAAGTTGTTAACTTTTTAGCTTTCGGCTTAATTCTCAATCGATTAACTAATTACCCAACTCTGTGTTTCAGTTACGTATAAAGTAGTGACAAAAACTCGTTGGAAAATCGGGCTCGGCCGATAGAAATCAGCCAGAAGCCAATGGAACAAGGTGAAAGAGGCACTCGTGCCTCGAATTACTCTCATTCACCACGTATATTCAGTCACCAATTAAGCTCTAGCACAACCTCAATTGAAATGAACGTCGTTGAATTTTTCCAATCCTACGCGATACTATGCGGAACGTCTTTTGACTGTCCGTTGCGCAACGGCGATTTAGCAACGCGTCCGATGCACAAGAATTTCGAGGCTTACTTATTAGATTGAACAACCGCGAAAAGAACAAATGGAGCATCGGTCACGTAGGCAAGTTTCTCGTTTTCTCAATCCGCCGGCCAGCCGACCGACCGGCCGGTCTGGAATATCGCTCGTAATCGCGTCGCTTTTTGCCGGGAAAGTGAATAACGACGGAGAGCCGATGGAAACGGTAATGCGATTTTCGCGCGGCGAAATCCCGGACGATTGCATCTGTCGCGACGGCGAAACTCGTTCCGCCGCGATAGACGACGTAGTCGCGAGCGGGAGGGGGAAAAAGAAGAGAGAAAAGAAAAATCGGAAAGAAACGCGGCGGGGAAAAAAGCAGCAGTCGACGGACAGCATCGTTAGCGCGCCGTTGTTGTTAATTGCAGCCCCTTCGGCTGCTTTGTTTTGGAAAACGCGATCTGCAGCAATGATTGGAAATTCCGTTCCGTCCGGAGAACGGCGACGTCTCCGGACCAGCAAGGGGAACGAAATCGCGTCAACGTGGAAACCGGTGCTAGGAAAGAACGGGGTCAGAGGTCACACGGGTATATCATCAGAAAGTTGATATCTCGCTTGATTGGCAAAGGAGCGTGTATTCTTCTACGGCAGGGGTTCCCAACCGAGGGTGCGGAAAAACATTCTTGAAGATGCGAGGAAAAGTGATTAGAATTAATAATGATTAAAATGAATTCTGGAATAATCCGGCAATTTTACCATCAAATTAAAAAAAATGTTATTAAAATTATATATTTTTTATTATTATAAAATTATATATTTTATATTATTAAGAATTGAATATCTTTTTTGATTTTTAACGTCTTACCTTAAAACCCTAACAACTAATTTTTACCATAAAATACGAATAATATTTTTTTGTAGGGAGCGCGAAGGTTCATTAATAAATTTTTAGGGGTGCAAAATACAAAAAAGGTTGGGAAACCCTGCTCCACGGTGAAGGTTGCTCGTATCATGTTGGAAGCGTCGCGCACAGTTGTTGACTATTCACTTGAATAGCCGTGAAAAAGATGCAGCTGAGCAAGATTTCACTGTGAAGTTACTTCAAAAAGTGATCGCGAAACGTTTATGAAAGTTTATGCAGTTTTACGATTAAATGATAGATACAACGTGTTTTGCTTTGGGAACTTTACTCGATAAAAATACCCCCGGCTTTGATAAAACATCTGAGAAACTATTCGTCTTGTTTTCTCTGTGTGAAAGATACGTGACAACCAATTCTATTTATGAAGTAAGTCGTTATAATCGCGTGATTTTGCTTCCAAATAAACAACAATTTTGTGTACGAACAACATAAAGCTAGTATTTTTTTCCTTTGCCTTGAAGAATGTAGGTTACATTAAGTGTACACGCGATGTTACCAAACGCCGCATATATCTTTCTTTTTTAATCGGTAAAGAATGTGACTGCCAGCCCCGATCTCTTCTGTCGCCAATAAACGATCCGCTTGCAGCTGATATTGCGTGTCGTTAGACTGACTGAATCATTAGTTATTTATCTCGGTTGTTGTAATCGCAACGAAACTGTCATGCATTGCACGCTCAAATCGTCTATTATCGCTACGACATTCCGCGTATCTCGCGATATTTCACTGGCGTCGCTAGCATATCGAGGATCTTCACGCGCAGACTTTGATCAAGGACATCAAATCGAATCCCGACTGTGGTAATAATTCTAGCGAGGCCGGGTCGTACCTAGGTCAGGAACCTTGGAATAGTAACCAGATAGGATAGCGCGGCTAAAGGCAATTTGGTTGCTCACTTTCACTGCCGTCTACAGCGACGCGACGGCGCCCTTGCGGTCTCGCCCGTTACTGGAATAGCAAGTGTTCTATCGCGATTTATTGCGATGCACGTGTGCGCGCGCGTGCGCGCGCATGCGCCGCGCATCGGGGCGCCGATCTATACGGAAAACAAATCTCAGCTCGTGCAACTGACACGGAGACTAAACGAAAACTCAATGGCGAAGAGTCATCTCTGTCATCGCGCTTGAACATTTCGTTTATAAAACGATCACAGATTGGTCTGTATTAGAAGTAACACGGTTTAACGGTGATTCAGAGAGGCAACTTCGAAAGTTAGTTCACACTTTAAGATTAAAAATATTTTTACACGTGCCATTTTATAGGGGCACACGTGACATTGCTATTTTCAAGAAAGGAAATTATAACTGAGAGATGATGACAAGATTTCTTCAATTTTCTTCGCACGTGTTCAAAATAACGTGAACAACGTTCCATTGTAATTCAAAATTTACTCGTTCTGTAATTTATAATAGGTAGTTGCGTTATAAAATGAGGAATTCATTGGAATCAGCAACTACGTGTAAATTGAAATATTATTTAATTTAATTTAATTAGTTGCTCGTACAATTAAAAAAAAGTGATCTTTCATTTACTAGCTGAGAGACGCGCATAAATGAAGCACTAATTGCAAAAATGAAAAATAATATTTTCATTTCTGTGCGATGTCGCGTGTATAATTCGTCTTAACTGCATTCCAAATTAATATGTATTACTTGTATAGCGAAATAAACTCATAGGAAAATAATTTTCTCCGATAAGTATTATTAAATTTTGATCGACCTCCTCGGTGTGCTACTGAATATTATCTTGAAACTTACTTGAAATAACTACTGCCTCTGCCCGAGAAGAAATGTTTACATATGAGTTTTACCTTTATATGGTCATGTATAATCATACATGTCTACAATGAGAAAAATGTTGCCGTATAAAAAAAATACAATTGAAGCAAATGCGTATCTTGTTTATGGCAACTCGTGAGGTTGATGCTTAACGAACAACGCTATTTTTTCCATTCAACAGCATTTTCTTCCATGTGGACATGCATAATTACACGTATGTTTTTATAGAAATAAAATCCATATATAGGTCATATATAATCACACATAATTCATATATAATCATAGCTGAATTTTTCACAATTGTACAGGGTGTTTAAAAAAGAGTGTTCAAGACTTTGGGGGCAGATAATATTCACAAAATGGAGGAAAAAAAGCCCTAATAAACATGAGTAGAAAAAATAATATTGTCGGAGTAACGAATAATTATTTATTTCAATTAAAACTTGTGACTTACTCGCTCCTGATACTTTTGTATTCTCTGATATAATTTATCGGTAAAAAAAAGTAAGGAATCCCTAAGAACATTCTTTCGCTCTTACGCTCTCAGAATGTGAACAAACATCTATACCTTTTTCCTCCATTTTGTGAGTGTTACCTACCCTAAAAGTCCCGAATCCTTTTTCTTTAAATACCCTTTATATAATCATCGTTTTTCCAGATGAATATACAGAAACTTCCTTTCGCGATCTTTCTTTCTGCAATCGAGTTTTCATCTGGCTCTCTTGGACGAAAGAGAATTCAATCGCACAAACGGAATTTTCTTCTTCGTTATCGACGCAAGGACGAGTCTTCTCGCGGTTTCCCACGAGTTGTACCTCCTCCTGCACAGCACCGCTATAAAGAACGACAAAGGAAGAACGGGTTTCCCCTTCTTCCTCGTCAAATGACCTCTACAGGGTCGACACGCGACTCACCCTGATAATGTCGAAGAGGAAATTGCCCGACCCAGCGCTGCCGCCGGCACCGCCGCCGAAACCGAAAAGGAATCTTTTGTTCCTATTCTCGTCGTCCTCCTGCGCCTCGACCTCGTCCAATGGCGCCAGCTCCTGCGGCGAGTTGTCGCTCGGCACTTCGTCCGCGAACTGCACTCGCACCTCGTTGTTCTGCGATTCCGCTCCGATCTCGTTCACTCGATTCTCGGACTCCGGGTTCACATCCTGCAAGAAGACGCGTGACTCTGGGTAATCGAGAATCGGCCGGCGAGAAGGACAACGGCTCGGACATCCCGCGACTTTGTTACTCGTTTGTGTGTCCGCCTTTTTGTGCCTTTCATAAAGACTTATCGGTTTGCCGGGTGACCGCGAGATTGCACTCGCGCTGCAAAACCGATCTATTACCGATCGATCGAATCGTCTCCACCACTTGGACTTGCGTCGAGCGGTGACGAGTAAAAAATCGAATAAAAATCTCGATCACGTGGCGCGGCTAATGAGGTCGTCCGCATATCTTTGAACTTCGCTAGTTTACGTTTGCGTCGACACGCATAAGAACGTCGTCTTGTTATAAATTATTCATGCCGTCGCAAGCGTGAGTTCTAACGAGTTGGCAAAAAATTTCGCTCACCTTCGGGATCGAGATTTTTCAATTCGCGTTGCAAGGGGCAACAGGGGCAACGAGCAATATGTGTCTTCATGCGAGTAACGACATTGTTTGTTTATTTTTTTGTTTCCGCAAATTAGCGATTATCACATAGATTAATTACACAGATTATCCGATTGCGATGTGGATTATGCTCTTGAGTGAGAGATGGCCTTATGATCTGTACACAGTGTGACGCATGCGAATTATATAAATAACGACGCACAGAAAAAGAAATCTCCGTTATTGTGTAACTGAACGGGAACATTGGTCGTCTGAACATTCAGCCGTGTTAAAACTCGACACCAGGACACAGACTGACGTGAGTGAAAGTCTCCGACGGGGATCTTTCCGACTCTGCGCGAAGATAAAAACGTTGGCTCGATTAACGCGACGAAGGGGGATGAGCGAGCCGAAGGCGCTTGCCCTCGGAGGGCACGCAGAATTTCCGGCTGGTCTACGAAATGCAAACTTCGCAGTTCCGGGGGTCAAAAATTCGATCCCCTTCGACACAGAAACGCGCTCGATTCGTTGCGCGCCGTCGCGTTGATTCAGTCGATCTTTTTTTTCTTCGTGTACGACCGGGCGCCGGAAAATTCAGTTACACTAACGGACTTGTTTCTTCCGCGTACGTGTGTATGTGTGTTCTGTGTATGGTGCATAGCATAATCCTATGTGCAAAATCTCAAGCGAAATTACTGATTATTAACAATGGCGCACACGCTGCGTGAGATTGTTACGACAAACACTCTGTGCGTGTTATATCACGTGGCAGAATTAGTTATCGGATCGCTAAGGATGCGTCTCATGAGAAATAATCGATCTAGTGTCGATTGTTGGTCGTATGATCGCGATCGTGTGATCTTGAAGGTGACAAGCAGCTCGTTCTCGAAGACCGCACGCTGGATTGACTTGTTAACGTTCAGTGCAGAAGCCGATGACGTGGTTGGTACGCGAAAAACGAAGATGGCGGCGGAGGTTCGAGGTGATTCCACTTGTTTGACGAAAGATTCGGACCGAGATTAGTTTCAAAGCCCGTCCACTTGCTGGTGATTGAAACTGTCTCGGCGTCGTAAAAATTGAAGGACGTGAGACATGAATGAAGGAATGAAGTCTCCTCCCGAAAGTACTTTCAAAGTGAGATGGACGAAGAAGAGAGAAGAAGAAACAGAGTAAAAGTCGAGTAGACAGAGTAGAGTTCTTGAGCGAAGAGTAGCGAAAAGCTTGAGTTTTGCGAATAAAAATCACAAAGAAGGATAAACCTGAAGTATCAAGATGAAGAAGATGCCGACGGTGATATAAAATTTTCCAACGTGACTTTTCGCTATATATATTATAATATTTTTTTCAAATTAACCAATATAACCAGTAAGTAAGAATAAAGTACAGTAAAAATAAATAATAATCCTCTTAAGAAAAGATTAAATAATCTGTATATAAGAGGGAATTTGTATTAAAATCAATAAGATTTACATTATACATACATATAGCATATAATTCCTCTAACTTTAAGAATAATGCGTTTATAATATTTTCCTCTTAATTTTAAAGGAATCCTCTTGAGGTCATATATAAAAATAAAATCTTCTAAAATTTAAATGATTCCGTTTGTTCTGAAATTACTTTCTTTTGGGTGTACTTTTAATTCTTCAAATATCTTTCCTCTCAGTGCGGGAATGACAGCCATTTTCTTAATTCTTCATGCTCTTTAACTTCAGCTGATGAATCTAAACGATTCTCTGCAATGACAGCGAAACGAGTATTCTCCTCGATTAAATTCGAATCTACCGAGATTCCGCTGATACAGCATATTAAATTATTCTTTTCACGAGCGATAATGGCTGAGATCCTAGAGCAAATGAGTCAATAATATCGATAACAACGTAAACGATAATCGACCGACACGACTGATTGTTGAATAAATAGGAAGAGATACGAAGAGGAAAAAACGAGAAACAGTAAGAGAGAGAAAGAGACAGAGAGAAGAACAGAAGAAGAGACAGACAGAGAGAAGTTAGCGATGAGACGAGGATTGAGAGAAATATTTACGAAAACGTGCGCATATGGCCGCGGCAGTCCTAGTTGCGCGGTGATTTAGCGTTCACCAAACCCTTCGATCGGTCCGCCCGGTCGAGCCGATCGAGTTCGTCGACCTTCCATTCGACGACAATCCTCGCTGCTCTCACGAGCAGCACCCAACGAGCGGTTAGCACACAAAATGCACGAGCGGACACCGTGGCCGCGGCAGTCCTGAATGCGCGGTGATCCCTCCCGGCTGGTGAGTCCTCATGATCCATGACCTTGCTCGAAAATTTTACCGAGCTGTTGACCACGAGTGGTCACAATGTAGTGGTGACTTCGTTGTCGGCCTCCGGTGGTATCATCGTCGTCGCGGCGTCGGTCGTCGTAGACGCCGCCGTCGTTGTCATGGCGTCGTCTACGCCGCCTCTGCTCTCCAGTGACGTCATTGTCGTGGAGGTTACGCCGCTACTCGAGGAGGTGTTCGTCGATCCTTCAGTCACGTCTTCCTCGTCCGGCGGAAACGTCGGCAAAGTGAGCGACACTCTAGGGTGGTTCGAGTCGGACGACATGCTCGCATCACTATTGTCCTCATCGTCGTTGAAGTCGTCGTCGTCGTCATCGAAGGGCGACTTGCTCGTTGTGGTGCTCATCCGGCCGCCGCCGCCGCCGAGGATATTACGGAGGACGACTGGACCAAGGGCGCGAATGATTTCCGCGACAATCATGTTCACCTTCTCTTCTATTCTCTAGAAAATAACAGGCCTTAGCTGAACAGCTCCCTCTCTCTCTCTCTCTCTCTCTCTTTCTCTCTCTCTCTCTCTCGCTCTCTCCTTCAGCGCAGCTCGATCCTGCTTCGTTCTTTCTTTTTTTACTGTGGGAGGACTGCGAGATGTTTGTTTCGCTTAATTGGCCGTGATCGAGGTGTGATCAAGATGACTATGATATCGATCCGACGGCAGTGAACGTCGATCTGTCGATCTATGAATGATGGCAGTCTCGTGCGACCTGTCTCGGTCTTCTGCAGGGATTTCTTGTCTTACTTTTTTTTTCCCCGCAGTTTCTCCTCCCGTCCGTTTCTGGATGTTCGTAAATAGCGAATGCGAATGCGAGCGGTCGCCGTCTCTCGAGGGTTCAAATGTCGACGGTCGTGGGTCGCCGTTTGGTTTACTCTCGTCTCGCACCATCTAGCCGGTCGTCTTACTTTCTTTACGTACGACTCACGAGGAGAATTGTTTTCACCGCTTTTACGCAACGCATCGGGGCCGCTCGGTGGAGCGTGCACCTTCCCCGCGCGAATTCTACAGGCAGGATCCGGGGTGCTTCCGTTATCAGTGCGACCGCGTCGCGTCGCGTCGCGTCGCGTAATTGTTGGGAAAATCTCGCCGGGAAATTTCGACATTCCGGCTCGCGGAATCGCCTCAGAGCCGCGCTCTTTTGTAAGCATCATTGTTGCTAAGGGCCAGTCGCCATTATGACATGCAAGCGCATGCGTGGAGAGGCCGCCGGCCGGCGCAAGCGTCGCTTGCTAACGAGAGAAGTGAAGAAAAGAAAGATGTCAGGCAGCGGGTTATTAGTTAAATTGGGAAGTCGTTTCCCGGGCGATTCAATGGGCAATGGGCAATGGGCGCAACCGGCTGGAATTTCAAGCGTAAGAACGAGACTTTCCCGAGAATGCCCGCTTTTTGCGAGTGGCATGTCCCTGCTGCCAGCCAACGATTGCGCGTCTCAGCGTGTGGCGCAATTCCTATTGGAAACGAGGCACTCTAACGAAACCTCCCTCCCCCTCGGCTCGGTCAACGAAATTGCGGACGGAATTTGCAAAAAAGGTCGTCCAGCTGAGCGGGCCGAAGTCAAGTACCGAGGCTCTGAGGAGAGAGGGCAGAAAGAAAGGATTTCACGAGGCCTTGGTCGGGATACATCGCGGTGCTCAACGGCGAGAACAACGCCGGACGCATCGCCGTCCTGTATGCTTTGTCGTTGTGCGATTCGGTTGTTACACGAGGCGTGGAGCACAGAAGAACACGAGCAGTGAAATTGAGGCACAAAGTCGAGGCGCGGACGGTTGATCCGATTAGAACGACTCCAGGCGCCAACCGTGTTCGTTTATCGTCTTAATGAAAAGACAGTAGCAGGAATAAGTCACGCTATTACCGCGATTACTCGTTGCGAACACGCTTTTCTTAGCGCAATTATTTCAATTATATTCTGTGCAATTACAGTCACGCGTACTAAACATTTTCCACTCATTAGAGAGAAATACAAGCTGGTAGACGAGGGCTTTTTTCAAGCTACGTGTACAGTCATAGGCGTAGACATCGGAAGCGCGACGGCGCATGTGAGATGCTCCCGAGCGATATAGGGTGTTCGAAAAGTACACGACAAGTCTAAAGCTAGCGACTAACTTCTCGTCTAATCCCACGGGGTGAAAAGAAGGCGTGAACAAGTTTTAAGGCTATTGACAATATTTACATGACGTTATCGAGAAACCATCGACTTTAGCCGATGCTGATCTCATCCTGGCTGCTATAAAATGTCTACAGACATTTGTCATACAGACAGATTACGATTTCCTCAGGACTATGAGACTTTCATGAGATATACAGGGTGTTTAGAAAAAAGGCTCAGAACTTTAAGGGTAGATAGTACTCACAGCACGCAGGAAAAGAGTCGTAATATGTCGTATGAGTTAAAAAATTAATGTTGTTAAAATCATGAACAATTATTTATTTTAATTAAAGCAAATGACTTGCTCGCTTCTAGTGCCATGAAATGCATTGCTGCCATTTTTTAATTGGAGTAATATAATGTTATTTTTACCTTACTGTGAAAACTTTATAATAGCTCTCTGCAATTGTTCACCGTTCACGAGGATATGTAATTAACAATTGCTTGATGAAGCATGCGTATAAATGTTTACATTCGATGTTTGTTTACATTGCGAGCAAGAGCGAAGAGACTTTTTTTAGGGAATCTTTTAAAGCGCGGGGAAGTATTCTCCTCATCGATAAATATCATAGACAAATTACATCAAAGAATATAAAAGCACCAGAAGCGAGTAGGTCACTCGTTTCAATTAAAAGAACTAATTGTTTACAACTCCGACAATATTAATTTTTCGATCTATGTTTATTAGAATTCTTTTCCCCCATTTTGTGAGTATTATCTACTCTCAAAATCTTGAACTCTTCTTTAAACATACTGTATAATGGAATACGTTAAGACACATGGACAGAAGTGTCACTTGAACGTTATATCGAGAGAGGCCATATTCCAACTTCATCATTTGGCTTTCCATCCGTTCTTCGCGCCAATCTTTGCTAATCGCCGGCGATATACACAATCTTTCCCACGAAACAAGTCTACTTTTCGACTGGGATCGACAGCTGTGCGATATATCGCAGTTTACTAGGTTGCAGCTGGTGCCAACGGGTTCTGCGTTTCCGATACTTTTATACAAATAGACATGTTCATGGTTGTTGAGACGGTGAACGCACTCTTTGCTACATGTTCTCACGGATTATCGAACATGTGGAGACAGACCCGTGTGGATACGTTTCATATTTTTTCGGACACCCTATATAGTTTGGGAACGACTCGCATGCGCCGTTGCGCTTCTAACAGTCGTGTTACGTGATTTTTAAATCTCTGTCTATCACTTCGCACTACATCTCCCTAGTTAGTGCAATAAGTGCATTGATCGATTACATTCGAGAGTTATCGAGAACGTAAGATCGTCGCGTTGAAATTCTCGACTGCGATTGGCCGACTCGCTTGCCCATTTGCGCGATTAGCGAATAAAGAAATCAATTACCATACTAGTGAGAATCACGGAAATATTATAATAATTGTGAATAATTAAATAAATAAAGGAATTAGAAAATTTGGAAAATATGCGCGTAACACTGGATTCTTTTCTTTAAATCAATGTCAAGTGTAATATAATAAAACGGATCAGGAACGTATAATTTTGGTGATACATTTTCGGCGAGAAATCGCGATTTAAAAATTTCTTCCGTATTCATTTTTCTTGTCCTAACGTGCCTTCAGCTTCTATTTATAGAAATTGAAAAGATTATTTGACAGGTGTGCCCGCAAATGAAGCAAATTATATCAAACGAACAAAAGAACAGGAGCCGAAAAGCGCCGGCCCTTGTTTGCGTTTTATACAACTTTAATTTTGAATTTCGTTTCTATGACGCAAACGGTGTAGTTTTTCTGCATACCACGTGACGGCGTTAGGGCGGATTCGCACTTTGGCAAAAGAATAGAAGGCAGAAGCCAAGAGAGTGAAGACGGGGAGAAAATCTCTCGCAAGAGAGAAGCAGACACTATCAGCGCAGCTTTCGACCGGATGCTGCCTTTCTGTTTTCTGTTTTTCTGCCAAGGTGCGAATCCGCCCTTATGCAATTTCCGACCTTACGCGCAAATTCGCGATGCTCTGTTTGCCGCAAAACCGTGAGAATGGTACCGGTAAAACGTGCGCGCGATCATTTCCGTGCTCTCTTTTCCACGAAAGAACGAAAACTCGTCCCGGTCCGAAAATAAAATGCGATTCGAATACGCAACGCGAGCGAGCGAGCAAACAGGGGGTAAGCCGTAAGCCAGATTAGCGGTCGACTCACAAATCGCATACGTTACTTTCTCGGTAAGAATGTCGAGTTAAAAGGCCGCGTATTCAGCAGTGGGGCGCTTTGCCACGCGGATCCGCTCGAAGATCACGACGCGAAGGTGACGTCCTGGTCACGAAGCGAGTGAGTGTCAGAGGTGCATCGAGTGAGGGTCAACCGGGGATGCGTTCTCAAGGATGTCGCATTGATCCTTGATGGCTGCGAGTGCTCGTAAGTCGACTCAAGAGAGCCGATAAACGAGCGAACGCTCATTTCTGCGCAGCCTTGTATTCATGAAAGGCCGCTCGGCAAGCGCGCGCGCACTCATGTGTCGGTCTAGTCCTGGTCTTCTGCAGGATTTCTCTGTCACGTTTCTTTCATTTTTCTGTTTTTTTTTCTTTTGTTCGTTGTCGTACCGACAACGTGTCTGCTCACCTGCGAGACCTCCGGGAAGATCTGTCGTAGGATGCCGATTGTCCGTTTGCTCCTCAGGGCCGCCTCACTGTCGGCTTCGGCCATCACCAGCCGATCGAGGGCCTGAAAGAAAGTTTCCTATTGGCCCCGCCGTACGACAATGCCTATCCGAGTAGAAATTCCGAAAGACCGTGTTCGCCGAGCTACGTAGGTAGCTGATTTGTGTCCAAACTTCGCTACTGGTTAATAATGCAGCGCTCGCTTTTCCCAGTGAGCGTTATATAAATAAAATAGCTGATAGAGAGAAAAGAAATTGAGAAATTACGAGTTCAATAAGGAATAGAAAATTAAAACATTACATTTCTGAAAAGAATCATAATCAATCGCTAGATGATGACGTCCACCTCTTCTAATAAATATTGTATGAATAAGATAGTTGATGGCTCTGGATAAAAGAAACTGGAAATTGGAAAAGTATATTTATGAGAAAAGTCGTAGTTTAACTTTCCTCGTAACTTCATTAACTTCTCGACAAAATGATGTAACACTCACTTCTTCCAGTGAGCGTTGTACAAATAAGATAGTCGATGACTAGATAAAAAAAATTGGAAAACAGCGAGTTGAAATATTAAGAAATTGAAGGTTAAGAAATTACATTTTTTAAAAAATCGTAATCAATTGTTAGCCAATTTATTTCTCCTAATAAGTGTTATGTAAATAAATTTACTAACGATTAGACAAATTAAATTGCAGATTAAAAAATTAGGAAATTACAATTATGAGATGAAGAATCATAATTGATTGTCAGCCAATAATAACACTCACTCTTGCAGTTTTTAAATTTTTACATAATAAAACTTTCAATTTTAATTCACTAGCCCACAATTCTCTAAAGTGTTAATAGCGACGTAGTATCTAGATTATACTATTTTAAGATAGAAGATAATAACTAGAACATTTAATCTAGCCTATAATAGTTGACTACTAGCTCTTATAAACAAAGTCAATTAGTTAATTCCTACTTGAGTTTTCACGACAAAGGTGCTGTTTCTTTACTGATCGTGAGTGGAAAACGTTGCTCAAACTTTTTCACCGGTGAATTCGAGGATTTCGTGGATTTTAAAAGCGCAAGACGAGACTTTGTTCGGTGAAATTTGAATGTCCAACGAATATCAACATTCTGCTGCAGCGAGCAGTACTTTTGAGCGGTAGTAGTTACGTAGTAGCTGCATACCTCTTCGTAATTATGCAAATATTTAAACACGAAAAATATTCAAGCTGGTGAGAGCCATACAGAATGTTAATTATTATTCACATATTCGCGCAGTTATGTATAATCATTTCTCCGGGAAGTCGAAGGTGTCGACAAGTCATAAACATATTACACATATCGAGAAACTTTCTCGTCTTCGAGGATTTTTAACGTGCACACAGGGCATTAATTAATAATCACTCTTCGACATCGAACCGACCCCGTATTCCGATAACATTATTTTATATCAATCCCGATATTTCCAAATTACTCGAAAATTTCTTTACTGCTGGTTAACTGAGGGATTTTTAAACATGAATATCAAGGAAAATGAGTTTCACAGCAATTATCGGAAAATATCATTGCGAACCGGTTAAACATCTGTATTTTGTTGATCGCCAGACAAAAAATGAAGAGTTTTTTCGAATATCGAATATGTTAGTGGGGATGAAAAATGGATCTATTTCGATAATCCCAAACAAAAAAATTATGGGTTGATCCAAGCCAACCAGCAATATTCATTTCGAGGTGCAATATTCACCTAAAAGTATTATTTTAGTTAAAAAGTATTATTGTGTATTTGGTGGGATCAAGAAGGTGTGTACTATGACTGTTAAATCCGAATGAAGCTGTCACCGCTGATCATTATCGACAACAATTGTACAAATTAAAGCGAATATTGAATAAAAACGATCACCAATCGCGAGTAAACGATGCAAAGTAATTCTTCTTTACGACAATGCTCCATCTCATGTTACATTATCAGTGAAACAAACGCTATTAGAGCTGAGAAGAATGGGAAGTCTTAACGTACTCTGCATATTCTCTAGACTCCATCCGATTATCATTTCGAAGTGCGAAAATTTATTGAAAATTGGATCAACTCCAAAGAAGAATCTTCTTATCGTCGCGGAATCTATCTCTTTTCAGAAAGATGGGAATATAGAAAACGAAGGAAAATATTTTGATCGAGATATTCGTTCATTATCTTACTTAAGTAAATTAGTTTTTGAGAAAAAGCCCACAAAACTAAATCACACTTCTAACAATATATATTATCGGTTATATAAAATTAAAAAAAAAATTAAAAATCATAGTAAAAACGCTGGAATATCACAATTATAACCGTGTTGCAGATGTTTATAGTTCAAGCAATTATCTGCTGACGTTTAATTGTTAGATCTGTGCAGTTATTCTTTTTTTCATCCCAAATTAAGTTGTCAACGAAGAAACGAACTAAACTGCCCTTTCATTAAATGATACTGCACTCATCTCTGAGAAAATGTTACGAATAAATATCGAAATCTCTCTGTGAAATAGAAAAATATAACGCATCAAGCGGGTCACTCAGGCTCGATAGGTATATTATTAATTTCATAATTTATTTTTACGAGGTTACCTGCTCACTAATTGAGACATTCACTCTAAATTGTGAGAATTTGTATCAGGTTTCTCCAGATACTCAATCAGTGAGAAACGACTAATAGGAACCAAGGTGAATTGACGGTCGCAATTAATTAATTACACAATATCCGCCGACCTTGTTATCCCGCAACAATAATTAATTAACCTTGGCCGTTAATCTGCGTCGGCTCTTATTAGTGATCTTCGTAAAGAAGTTTTTCAACATATAAAAATCGAGATAATATGCTGAAGAATCTCATACTCCTCTACAATTTCGAAAAGTGTCAAATAATACTCGATCGCACCGTCCTGCCTTTCTCTCCCGCTTCTTCGACGTAATCAATTGTGCATCGCGCCACTTAGTTATTAAAAGTGCGGCGTTAAAGTATCGCAAAGCGTAATAGTCTCTATGACAAATCAGGAAGAACCGAAACGCATAATTCTCTTCTCGCACGAATAGGAAAAGCGCGATAAAGTTCGCCGCAGAGTTCGCGCCGAGAGGTGTATGAAGGTAATTGTGCTGTGCAACGATCTTCATGCTAGATGGTAATTGTGTTTTGCAACGATCTTTACGTTAGAGTAGATAAGAAATCAACTTAGCGCCACTTACTGCAGCCAACAGCCAGTTCCGCCGGGTGTCCCATTAGCTGTTTGACCGTAAGACGCTTCAACAATGTCTTTTGGCAGTTAAATGAAATCGAGAAACAGAGAAGCTCGATAGGAAACGTCACGGTCGCGATCGGTCGGCTTCGTATTTAATCACAAGAGATAACGCGAGATTCGGCGTTAACCCTTGAAGGCTGCTGCGAGCGAAATTTTACCTCATGCGAATTTTGTTTCGGTCTTACTGAAAAACATTTGTAACGTCGGGCTGCGAACAATAACTTCTCTGCTTTTCATCTAATATTCAATCATAACAAAACATTTAATTGCATCAGTTTGACTTTTTTGATTTCTAAAATAAAAGAGCTGTACTGGAGTGGAGAATTTCTCACGTGATTCAACGTGATTTTCTTTGATAGCTTTTAAAGGTTGATTGTCAACCCTGACCTCGATTGTTCCGGGATAATGACGCAGGTGCTAATGTCATGTGAGTAATATTCTTATGAGTAATATTCTCATGAACGCCTGCTTGAAATTCGAAAGGCGAAACTTTGGCTATACTTTGAATATATTAAACCAATTATGAAACACCCATGATGATTCCGCGCGAATGACACACGTGTCCATTTCCGCTCGTGAAGGTCGCGGAAGAAAGACTCCGGCATGTTTTATTTCGGCGGAATCGGCGAGATTTAACGCGCGACACGGCAACTTGGTCTCGCCATTAATTTCGAATAAAGTCTCGGTCGAACTAATCGAACCGTGCGATTGGCCGCTGAGCGGCCGTCCGATTCGGACATTGCTCAACTCTCGTGTGCTATGGTTCACTTTCCCTCGTTCGCGCGAGCGCTATCTCTGCGACACTCGTCCCCTGGGCGCTCTCTTCCAACTTTCGGCCGGATTATTTCGCGTGGCGATTCGGTTTCTACAAATGCTCCAACGTATAGTCGTAATATTGAGAGAAAGAGCCGACAGGAAAGGTCAACTGGCATAGCGATGATTAATCAACGCTCTCGGCGCTCGATTGATTTTCTCACCGGCGTTAGAAATCGATAAATAAATAATTACTCGCATCAAATTTTAAAAAGAATTAAAAATCACAGTAAAAACGCTGGAATATCATAATTACAATCGTGTTACCGATAGCTACAGTTCAAGCAATTATTTGCTGTACAGGGTGCTTAAAAAAATTTCAGGACTTTGAAAGCAGATAGTGATCACAAAATGGAGGAAAAAAGTCCTGATAAACATAGGTCGAAAAGTTAATATTGTCGGAGTTATGAACAATTATTTACTTTAATTAAAGCAAGCGACTTACTCGCTTTTGGCGCTTTTGTATTCTCTGATGTGATTTGTCTACGTCATTTATCGGTGAAGAGAGTATTAAAGCTTTAAAGGAATCCCTGAAAAGATCCTCTAGATTAAATTACACTTCTAATATATTATCAGTTACTCGCATCAAATTTCAAAAAGAATTAAAAATCATAGTAAAAACGCTGGAATAATCATAATTATAATCGTGTTGCCGATAGCTACGGTTCAGGCAATTATTTACTGACGTCTAATGATTAGATTTGTGCACTTATTCTTTTTTTCTTTCCTAACTAAAGTATCAAGAAGAAACGAACTAAACTGTCTTGTTACTAAATGATACTACACTTATTTCTGAGAAAATATTACAAATAAATATCGAAATCTCTCTATAAATTAGAAAATATAACGCAATAAACGGTTCACTCAAGCTTTTCGAGTTCGATAGGTATATCATTAATTTCTTAATTTATTTTTACGAGGTTACTTGTTCACTAATTGAAACGTTCACAAAAGTTCCTTTACTCTTGCTCGATGTAAACAAACATTTTCT